ACAATGACCCAAAAATATTCACATAAAAAAGATCATATTAAAAGACTTTGGTGATGCAGAGGAAAAATCATGTTGCTTTAGAATGGGTTGGAAACAAGTCAGAATATGGCCATTATTTCCCCTCCATTGTAACCTTCCCATTTCTGCTCCTACCATGCAAACCCAAGTACACATGGCTTAAATCTCCCTGTATTCTAATAAAAAATTGCAAAGAAGATGGATATTGCACTGAGATACATAGGTTCAGTACAATTGGCAAATCAATAGCACATTTCATCATGAAGATAAAAAATGTTGGGAATTACTCCTCTTCTCGTAACATAATAGAAAAAGTGGCAAGAAAAAGAAACAGATGACTAAGGGAAGATTTGGTAAACATCAGATGCCAGACAACTTTAACAGAACAAAAGGGCATGGAGGATGACATGTAAGCAATTACCCGGCTTAAGAAGTACTCAGCAACATCTGGAAGAAAGTGAAGCTCATCTTTTCTTTTGAAGGTTTCTTGTATAGCAGGATCCTTCCATACTTCTTCAACTAATGGTGCATATTCACGTGTGGCTGCAGGGAAGAAGGCATCTAAATCCCCAGTGGCTATAATGTCGAGGAGCCAATCAGAGAAATGTTTTAGCCTTGGGTTGAGGGAATAGATGCATTCACTAGTATTACCTGCTTCATGATTTTTACCTGAATAAAGATCAAAATTAGGCTATATACTGGAAGCATTATGATGCCATTACAGGACCACCATCAAAGTTGGCCATGTGATTTAACTTCGATACTGATCTATATTCAGAACAGCACATTTGCAGCAGCCAAATAATATTTTCTGTGGACATTTTGTTACCTACCAAGAGCCAGAAACTGAGCTTAGTCTAATTTAATGTCTGGAAAGTTTTCACACTCCAGTTCAATCAGTGGAAAAAAGAACCACCGCAGATGTACTGTCAGCCTTAATACGCTGAAACACTTTGCAGTTTATTTTGGACAGTAAATATTCAATTAAGAAAATTATCAACAATTGTGCAATATTTTCTAAACTAGTTTCCAACATTATGGTATACTTCAAACAATTAGACGCGGGGTAGTATGCCACTTCACATTCTATTGGATGTCCACCCATAATACATTTAAAATTGAATGTCTTCACTAGCTTTTATCAATGAAGGTTCTTGGCATTAAGATAAATTTGTTCATCCCTTCTGTTGCACTTATTAAGTTATTAAATAATTGTAGAAACTTACCGATTTTGGATTTTCGTTTTCATAGCAAAATGATAATTTGATAACAGCAAAAGTGTCCTTGGAAATTGAAATTAAGAAAAAGAAAGGTCAAACAGAATTTCAATTACTCATTTCACCTAGCTATCCTATATTTCCCCAAAATATAGCAAAGTCAATTATATATTCGGGTTTCAACAATAAAAAACCAAAATTTAGAAATACTGTATCCTATCAATCTAATGAACCAGGCCATGAAGAAGAGACATAAGTTCCACCATCCATGCTCAAGGTTAGGGAGCCTAAGAAATGCAGAGAGCTTAGCTGATTGAAGAACAAATGAAGTGTATGGATTCTACTAGATGTAGTTAAGGATAAAGTATTAACTGAATGTACAATATTTTTTTCATATGCTGTTTCCTGTTAGCTAAACAGCAAACAGATGAAGAAGAAACTTGAAAACTAAATTATCATGGTATGAAATATTACCTGTTTCGATAGTTTGACCAGGAGAACCTTGTCCATTCATTCTAGAAACAGCTTCCTCTTCAAATCGCTCTCTCCCGTCAAGTAGAATACTAAGATATTTATACATGTTACTCTGGATCATAAGTTTAATATCCTGCAGCTCTTCAGCAGAAAATTTGTTCCCATACAAAAACTTGGCCTGCTCAGCAATTGCAAGAGTGCCACAGAGGAGAATAATGTTACTAGAAAATCAGTAACAAACACTAGAACCCAAAAATATGTTTTTATTTTAATTCAATTAGAGTAAATGAAGAGACTAAAAAATCTTTTACTCAGTTTCATTTATACTCCATCCCACCCTTCCATCTACCAATAGAAGATTCGATGAAAGGTGGGAGAAGGGAGAATAGAGAAAAAATTATTAAAGGAAAACTAAAATATGAACCAAGTTCTCATACATCTTTGCAAGTGTTGATTTGAAACAACTCAATTGCTTATCTCAGACGTATTTACCATAAACATGGGTCTAAACATTGGAATAAAAGCCATACCTGCTTAAATATAGTGCTAGTACCAGATCCTTGAATTCCAAGAAGAAGAAGCTTCTGAGTTCTTTTCTGTTCCAGATAAATAGGAACAGTTGTATAATGACTAGTTTCATCCTTTAGCCCATGAGGTTGACCATGGGGAAAGGGTAGAGAGAATAAGGCACATATGAATCTTGTTGAGGCCTGTCAAGGAAAAAGTAGACACATACTTCATTGATATTCTACAGGCTCCTATGACGTAATATGTTGCCACCAAAAATTGTTTAGTTGGCAAATACCTTCTCCCAAATGTTTCCTCTGATATTATTTTGTCCTTCCTCCTCGTAACGACCATCATCATAAACCCAAAAGTGTGTATCACGAGGACACTGCACATTTGCCAGCTGAAAATTCAAAGAAAAAGGTTAATCTATTGATTCTAGTAAATACCATAATCGCTTGATTATGATAATGATATAGGTCATCCAAAGATTAAAAGGGGTCATCCTGCAACATTTAGTGGCTGGTTGTAAATGTTTTACTATTGTCCTTATGGATCTTCCAAAGGTTAGAAAAGTCTTCCAGCAAAGTAGTAAGTTTATTCATTAGGTGATTGGTGTTGTATTATTATCTTTTCTCAGCTATTATGTAAGATCATTTTATCACTTTCCAAATCCTCTCGGCTTTGGGAAACAGGTGCAGCCTGCTGTTCATATCTTTAACAATCTGGTGCCACGCCCGTGTTTTCACTTCCACCTCTGACATTGCAGATAAGTTTAGTAATCATAAGTGGTTAAAATTTAATAAAAGATAAAACACCTACCTTGAGTACCCTCAACTCAAGTTTTGTGATCTCTCGACCATTCATGTACACCTCAGTGTTTCCACCACTAGCATTGAGGCTAAGTTTCCCAGTGAAATTCAAGTTTGAACTTATTATTCTGTCAGGTTTTTCCCCTTCCTATTAAATGAATAAAGGAATAAAGACACAAGTTAAATCCCGTTATCCGATGACCAATTGAAGTAAATAACTTTGATAAGTTAACCTGATGAATTTAAAAATAAAACAAATTAAACTTGCTGGGAAAAATGAAAATATAACATGTAGTTCAGTCAACCTGTGAATTTGAAAATATAATTTATGATACTCCATCTGATACTAAATGGAAAAATAATATTTTGTACAAGGGAAAATTGAAGAATATATTCTCAGTAATAAAGCATGAATCCATCACCTTTCCCCAGAGACCAGATTCTTTGTCATACCAATATCGACCAGGTTTCATCTTACGTGGAGGTAACGGGCATCCAAGCAATTCTGCCATCTCATCTGGCTTCAGGGCCAACCCATTGACGATAAGCTGCTCTGGCCGAAGCTGATTAGCAGAACATTCTTTCTCTGCTTTCATAATTTGCTTGACTTCTAGAGGACTTAACAATCGGGACAACACCCTTGAATATTTACCCAATTTCAGACGCTTTGATTCATCAATTGGTTGACCGATGCATGTAACACATTTGCGCCCCTCAGGCATTGATCCCATTGCCCTTAGCACACAGTTGCTGCAATACTTGGCATTACACACTATGCAAGACTCCTTTGTTTCCCACTTCCCTTTTCCACACCTATAACACACTCTTATTTTCTTTTTCTTCCTTTCCTTCAAAACTCCAACATATTCTGAATAAACTGGCTTTACAACCTCTACCTCTTTCCTCTGAGATCTATCAACAGTATTAAAAGTGACAACTGGTGCCCTCTTCACTTCATTAACCACTGGCTTTGGAGGATTACTTGGAGGATTATGAACTGAAGCAGGTGAAGCTGAAGGTGAAGCGGAAGAAAGATCTGGGTTTTGTAACACAGAAACCACAGAATCTGAACTTCCTGACACCCTCGGACTTTGATTAGGAGAACTTGTTACACCGGCAATACGAGACACTGGTAGAGGGATTGCTTCAATCACCATAGAACCCACATGAGTATTTGATCTTTGTGATCCAGAGAGTGGTTCGGCAGTGGGAATTGCTTTTGAGTTTGCATCAAGAGGCTCAACTCTTGGCAATTCATATGAAACTGGCGGACCAACATATTCCATAGCTATAGAATAATCAAGATTAGAAGCATCAGCAGGTATCGAAGCACCAGGAGGAAGCATCTTCTTCATTAACTCCCTCCAGCTCTCTTCCCTATTTTGATCCATATTCTTCGTATTCACAAACACAAACACCCCTTAAACTTCAAACCGTAAGTTCCTCAATCTTCAGCATCAGATATAACTGTAAGTTCCTCACTAAAACCACAAAACCAAGATCCTTGTAATCAACATATCTTCAGGAAAAAACAAGAGGTTGAATTATGTTACAATATAAAAGGGTTTTAGGAGTTTTTGTTTTGGCATATATAGAATCAGTCACAGGCATGGCCCATCAACCAGCCGCAATCAAACGTTGAAACTTGAACGCCTTCATAGTTGAACAGTTTCATTTGTATCAGAAAAAACGAAAAAGGAAAGTATGCTAACAAAAATAAAATGAAATCAAATTAAACCATTTTCAACTTATGGTATCTTAGCATGACTACAGACAGACAAAAACACAGAAAATACATGAAAAAGTGAGATATCTACAGTCAAAAATAGACAAAAACAAGAAACCAAACGTGTAAACCGTTCAACTTTATCAGGCTTAGAAGTTGGAAAGAAAAGACGAGTGAAGAACGGGTCACAAGTTCTATTTTTCTCCGAGTGTTGAAAAACTCTAGAGTCAAACCCCTTGCTAATAAATGCCCCCAGAAGAAAACCAATATAGAAACAGACCCAAATGCTGGAATTTTCAGGCAAGAATAAATAAAAAGAAAATCCAAAAAAGAGAAGGTGAAAAAAACATCACTTTCAAACTTTATAGTGAGAGAAAGGAGGTGGGGGAGAGTTTAGAGAGAGAAAGAGGGGACGATGAGAATGTACCTGAGAAAAGGGACACAATGAAAGCGAATCCGATCTTTAAATCTAAGGTGCTCTTGCTTTTGCGCTCGAAGAGCCAAAAGACAGAGCTTTCTCAAAAGCCACCACCACCATTGATGAAGGAAAGGAGAAAAAAAGAGAGAAAGGGAAAGGTGAGGCTCAGAAAGTAAGAAGTAGAAGTAGAAGCAGAAGCAGAAGCAGAAGAAGATGAGGGTGAAAATCAGTGGGGTCCCACTTAGCACCCCATTGCCAAATGCCAATAATCTTAATGTGTTTGTGATGTCTTCTTCTATCATGCTATGGTGTGATATCTCTCACCATATTGTTTGAAATAAGGTGGCATGATAAACAAATAATTATAATTTTATATTTAGTAAAATATAATATATAATAAAGAAATTAACTTTCTGGTTATATATAAATAAATAATGCTGCATGAAAAATACTCATGCTGTGTATTTTTAGGGTCTCTTTGGTAATGACTTTTGTTTTCGATAATGAATAATTCTTGTAAAATCATGTTTATAATATATATATTTTAAGATCAGATATGAAATAAAACAGAGTATTTTAATGAAGAGAGTTTTGTGATCTGAATGTTAATTTATGGGAATGTGTAGGTGTGGATCTATGAGATATGATGTTGGTTCTTAATTAAAACAAAAACTGGTCGTGATGTGATGAGGAAGACAACGGAACTCGTGGGGCTATTGTCAGATCCTACATTCCCCACGCGCCTACTCTCACTGCCATCGCATCACAAAGATATTTTTATTATCAATTTTTTTTTCTTATAAGAAAAAATCATCTAATTTTTTGGAATTGTGCTTGTTTCTACTGTATACGACAATGTATAAGTTAGATTTCAGATTCAAGATCTGGTTCAGGCAAAATCAGATTCAGATAATTCCAATTGAGACATTTAATAACTAAATAAGTAATAAAATAATGACATTGATTTTTGGGAGTATATATTTGAATAAGGTATTCTATACTATTTTAGATAAAGTAGCAAGAAGAAAATTATAGTGTTTGAATAAATTTCAGTGTATAGAATATAGAAACTGAAAATAAGAAGAAAAATATAATACTGATTAAAATGTTTTAATATGTTAATGTTGATTCTAAATCTGTCATTATTATGAAATATATTATGTGAGTTAAAATTATATAATTTTAAAGGTAAAATATATTTTTATTGCATTTTTAAAAGTTTTTTTGGGTAATAATTTATTTATACAATAATGGTTTTAGAAATAAATAAAAAAGACTATGATTTCAAAGTAACTTTAGAATGCATATGATAATATTTTCCTTCATTTTTATTTTTTTTTTACTGGGGTTTGGAACATTTTAAATCATGGTATATGTATGGTATAAATGAGTTTTTATAACTGATACAAAATCTTCAGAAAATAAATAATATTTATATTATTAGTATTATTTAATCATAAATTGTTATATTTTAAAATTTTATTCATTTTAATAATAATTTTTAATTATATTAAAATATAATTTTTACATACTTCACATTGTAAAATAATTTACACTGAAATTTTATACATTCAACTTTGCAAAGAGTTTGATTGTTTGAGTAGATAGATATTTTTAATACACGCGCTGAAGACGTGAGTACGATGGATTTTACACTTCATTTATTGGTGTTTCAAACTTTGAATTTGACAAAATGCTAAAACTAAAGCGCATATTCGCCACTTAGTAGCCTTAGAGCCAAAAATCTTATCACAATCAGAAAATATAAATAATGTCTTTTTATACGAATAAAATGTTTGAACAACCAACTCAATTAATTTCAAAAATTCATGCCAAAAATCTATACCCCAGGAATATTTTTTATTCTTATGATGATTTTTTTCTAGTTCGAACGTGTATTTTTTTCGAATATATGTCAAAAATAAAAACTGAATTGTACTGAATAACCTTAAAAAACGGTGTGTATATAAAAAGATAAAAATAATGAAATTAATGAACATAAAAGATTATTTTATTTTATTTTTAGACAAAGAAAACAGAGTCAAACACAGAAAATGATCAAACTAAACTTTACAACGATGGAATGCTTTGTAACAGTGCACACTATAGTTTCCCACACCGTAAAAGTTGTTGCAGGTTGCACAATTGTCCCGTGGCAGAGTAGGGTGGGTCAAGTCACTAATCCAAGAGTGGGATACCTTGTAGGACAATTGCTGAGGGGAGATTGTTGCGAGGTAGCATCAATTATCCCGTGACGAAGGTCAGGTGGCAGAGTCACAATTGAATCGTGGCGCTTAGGCATTAAAGTAAAAAGAGTTGCGGCTCGACTAATGGCTATAGCTTTTGGCCTAGTGGTAAGCGCTCGATCCTAACAATTGGTATCGAGCCAAGGTCACGAGTTCGATTCCTGGTGGGCAATTGTTGAGGGGAGATTGTTGCGAGGTTGCACGATTGTCCCGTGGCGGAGGCCGGTGGGCCAAGTCACAATCCAAGAGTGGGATACCTTGTAGGACAATTGCTGAGGGGAGATTGTTGCAGGTAGCATCAATTGTCCCGTGACGAAGGTCGAGTGGGCAGAGTCACAATTGAATCGTGGCGCTTGGTACGTTAAAGTAAAAGAGTTGCTGCTCGACTAATGGCTATAGCTTTTGGCCTAGTGGTAAGCGCTCGATCCTAACAATTGGTATCGAGCCAAGGTCACGAGTTCGATTCCTGGTGGGCAATTGTTGAGGGGGAGATTGTTGCAGGTTGCACAATTGTCCCGTGGCGAGGCCGGGTGGGCCAAGTCACAATCCAAGAGTGGGATACCTTGTAGGACAATTGCTGAGGGGGAGATTGTTGCAGGTAGCATCAATTGTCCTGTGACGAAGGTCAGGTGGGCCGAGTCACAATTGAATCGTGGCGCTTGGGCTGTTAAAGTAAAAAGAGTTGCGCTCTGACTAATGGCTATAGCTTTTGGCCTAGTGGTAAGCGCTCGATCCTAACAAAAGTGTTCTCACTTTAATCTCAAAGTAATGATCATATATAACTTATGATTATTGATTTATACCAATTAGGGTGCACAATTATTTCATCCCCATAACATTCTCAAATAGTGTTTATGGTAAACAAAAAGTTCAACTTTAAGAACTGGTATAATTAGAGAAACCAAGAAGATGAAAAAGCACTAGTGTTTCTTGTTTTCTATCTTTCTTTCTTTTTTTCTCATTTTGATATCTCAATTTTTCCTTCTATCTTTTTCATGCTTCTCCAATCAAAGCAATATTTATGGAGTTTTTTTAGATCTATTTCTTCTAAGGGATAGCAAAAAAATTGAGTTATTGTAGATTATGGTCCATAATAATAATAAAAAAAATGCAATGATCAACATTGATAAAATAAGATTTGGATGATAAAAATAATAATTATAATAATGGTGGATAGTAACAATGAGAATAAACATAAGATAAAGATTTATATAAATCATTTTTACAACTAATAATTATAGTTTAACATTCTTTTTTTATATTAAATTTTCTAAAGCAAGCTAAAAAATAATATAATTTAGGGTATGAATTTTTTTTTCTAATTTTCTTTTATCAAATGTGGGTTTTGCATTTATTTTGTAGTTTGTTTGATTAGTCGAACTTTAAAAAATATATGAATTTATTATTTTTTTAACAGTAAAAAATATTATTACATGTTAAATTTAAGTATGGAAAATTATATATTATATGAATTTACTCATTTGATAACTTTATTAACAATAAAATATTATTATTAGATATTGATGATAGGTACATGAAATAATAAAAATTATATATTTTTATAAATTGAAAGACTAAATTGATAATTTAAATATATAAATATCTAAGACCATTTTGAAAATAATAATAATGATGATGATGAGTCATAATAAAAAATATATAGTAAAATGTTAAATCAATTATTTTATAACAACAAAATAAAAATAAATATCATAACTATTGTTTTTATTTCTCATCCATCACATTTAGATTTTGTACACGATGTCCATAATTAATGGAATATTTTATTATACAAATTATTGAGACCAAAAATTAAATTTAATCAAAATTAACACGAACATAAATTATGATACAACAACTAAATTATGTTTATTTTTTCATAAATAAAATTTAACTTTTTATTTTATTTTATACATTGAGTTAAAATTGTTCCAAACTAAGTTAGAAATGGCCACAACTCATTATAATTAAAACGTTTTTTTTTCAAATTTACATTGAAAAAAAAATTGCACTCAAAATGTATTTTAAAAGATTTTTTTTTTTAAGTATCTATGACTTTTCCATAAATGAGTAAGTTGCCTCGGACCGCTATTAAACAATGGAAACCTTTCACAAACCATGTCAATTCTTTCTTTGTTCAGTGGCATGCAATTGCAAAGTAAGGACATGTGCTACAAAGCTTGAACCATAACTTTTGGACATTAGTGTTTAGATAAACCCTAATTTATCACTTTAACTCTTTATTGTTACTTAAAAATATTAGGGTTAGAAGGGACAGATAATTTTAAAGAGAAAGAGAAGTAAAAAACCTAACTTTTCACCCCAATCAATAAATTCCACATTTGAAAATATTTCATCCCACATGGGAGTGGACCCGGAAGAATATTAATTTAGTTTACTAAACCCACTTTCCACAAGTTTTAATTTTTATTTATAAATGGGAGTTAGATTAAATAGTTCACTTTGATGCATTAAATTAATTATGAATGTTTAGTTCATCCAAGTAATAGATATAGTATAATACTATTAGGGTCCCCCCTTTTTTTACAATATAAGGTTATGTTTGATTTACCCTTAAGTAATGCACACTATGTTTGGTTTCAAATGAAAGAAACATTATAGTTGCTTGCAAATTTACTTTGAAAAAAAGTTTTTCAAACTTTTTTTCAATTCAAACCGTAGAGTTTAAATAAAAATAATAATTTATCCAATAAAAACCTAACAAAATATAAATAATTATATTTGTAATCCAATAAAATACAATATACTTTCCATTCTACTCTCCTTAAAGTATTCAGATTAATTATTACAAATCACCTGAAATCATAAATATATAATGTAAGTTTGGTCTTCTAATGAGTGATTAAAACCCATTATTTTGTTAAATAAAAGGAATATTTTTTTTATGATAAAAATATATTTAAGCATAATATTATTACAAGATTAAATTCTGTAAAATGAACAAGAACGTTTATAATTTGCAATGACAAGCTACATGTATGTAGTGAATCAGAGGTTCTCATGTGGTTTTGGTAGATAGCATAGCATGTTGATTAGTTGGTCAACAGAATCACCATTATTTCTGTTTCTTTCCTTTTTGTTTTCTTCCAATGAAGAGATGATGGGGTAGGGTTGTGGTATTTGCAGATAGCAGAATTGAGATTTTTATTTATTTATTCTTATATGAAAGATCTCTCTCTCTCTATATATATACTTATTAAGATGTGATTTTGGTTTTATATTATTTTGCTTTTCACTTATTGGGCCTCTGAAAAGAAAATGAGGTTTTGACAATTAGGGTTTTAACTTTAGGAAACAAATGACCAATTCTATACCCTTTATTTGCTTGTTTTCACTTTGTGGCTTTACTTTACTTGCAGAGGAAAAAACAAATTAAATTAAAATGTTAGGGTTAGGCTTGTAGCTCTTACCTTTTATCTTATTGTCATTATTCATTTAAACCTAAGGATCAGGATATTGGTTCAATAATTTGTCTTAAGGAGGAATCATTGTTAAAGCTTTGTCTCAACTCGTGAGAGATTCTTAGACCAAGCACCTCATAAAGAGACAAAGAGGATGGAAAATGAACCTCTCCATTTTTTTTATATATATTTTTTTCATTATTATGATTTTTTTCTCAAATAACTTAGGTTTTTGTCGGATATCTTATAAAATAAATAATTTGATAGTTTATTTTTTATTTGGTGTGATAAAAAATTAAAGTCTATAGGATGTAAACAAATATAAATTATGTTTAAATGACACTGTTTACTTCAAATTACATATATTTTTCTAAAATTGGCTTTTAGATTATATTCTCTTACAAACTATGGAAATTAAATCAAAAATAAACTATTCGCTTTCTGCATGATTAATATTATGATTCATTTTTTTTTTGAATATTTAATAAAAAATATTTTTCAATTATAATATATATATACTCTCATCATAACTTTCCACACTTCCTTTTATACAAGCGTGGCCCAATGTTTTTCATCCTGGTTCAGAGCATATCAGTTCATCTAAGTGAGAAACACATCTTCACCCATAAATGAACCAGAAAAGGGAGCGATGTAGGAAAATAAATGAAAAAATTATTTTTAATTTTTTATGATAAAAAAATGTCATTAATGTGTATTAATTTTTAGTTAAGAAATTAAAAAATATTATTTTATTAAAATATTTCTAACTAAAAATAATTATTCATTTTTATATTTATAATTTTAATATATATTAACTTTTAATTATTATTGTAATAAATATAATATATAAAATTTATTAAAAAATAAAATATTATTTAATTAATTTAAATTAAAATATTTTAAAAAAATATTTTGAATTATGTATTCGTTATAACCTCTTATTTATAAAAACACTCTTACTAATAAACAACCTTCAACTATAATAAAATTTAAATTAGAAAATGTTATATAAAATAAAATTTGAAATGAAAATTGAATTTTGTCTCATTTTATTTATATGATAAAGGATTATGTTAAAATTTACCATAGTCGAATAATTTTACATTGGAATATGATGATATAAGTTAAATATTACAAATGAGTAAGCGAATTTTTTTAATGAACATAAAACTAAATTTTTCTGTTAATTTTTAAAAATATTTTATTATAAATAATAAATTAATAATTATATAGATAATTTTGGCAATTAAATAAATATTTGATTTAAATTATTATAAATAATAAATTAATAATTATATAGATAATTTTGGCAATTAAATAAATATTTGATTTAAATTAATTTCTTATTTTTTAAATAAGTATTTTTTATGCTACTCTCTTTTTAAAATATCTTCATTATATATTTTTTATTTTATTTTTCATATTTTTTCCTCTAACCGACCTAAGTTTTGAACAAAGTTTGTATTTTAATTTAATTTCTTATTAATTAATTCAATCTCCTCTCATTTTTGTAATTTATTCTCTCTAAGTTTCATACGAAATTCAAATAAATAATATCTATAGAGTTTAATTACAGTGAACTTAACATATTAGTTTTTTACAATGTCATTCAATTATTATTGTATAAAAAAAATTATATATGAAATTACTTATAACTAGTTAAATTGTAATTTGGTAAAAAAAAAAAAGACTCTATTTGATAATACTATATAAATGTAATCATTAACAAAATTTAATTAAGACCAATATAACTCTAATCCCAATTACAGATTAGCTTATGATATATTTTAAATTAGAATATTGATACGTTGACCATATGAATAAATATATTCTTTCAAAAGGATTATATAAATATCTATTCATTCATCAAATTTTTTTTTTTTGGACAAGACATAACGCAGTCGTTTCATGTGGCACAATTTGCTTCTTCATCGGAGGTCTTCTTCCTTGGTCGTGATCTTGTTAGGGTTCCTAGAATTGCAGTTTCCCTTCATTTCTTCGTGTCGCATCGACATCGTGAGTCCTTCACAGTTTTTGTTCCGATAACCCTTGAAATCAACACTGTCACGTGCACAGTACTATATTCTGTTAAGTGCTTGCAAGTAATTAACAGAACGATGAACTTCTGAGAAGATTGTTAATCTAGCATTGAAGCACTTGAAAGATGCAGAAATTGGGAGAGTTCAAACTGCCACATTTCTTCAATTACCCACCTTACTTCACGTAATTTCCTATTTACCCTTCATCTTTTTTCCTTTTTATTCTTTGCCAATGTTATTTTAATTGTACGTGCTTTGGTACTAGTTTTCCTCTTACTAATTTTAAGTTTTCAGACAAACAAAAATATAGCTTATTTTCCTCCACTGATAAGAAAAGAAAAATGAGAACTGTGAAATAAACAAGCATTGTGGCAATTTTTCTGCTAACATTATTTTCTTATTACTCCCCTTTTGTGCATATCCTTTCGGTTCCTAATTTCCTGTGTCAAATTTGAAGAAAACTTAAATGTTTTTTAGTCGCATGTGGCAACTGTTTCTTTACTGCTTGTATTGGATATTTTTAAGGGTTGCTTGTGATTTTGTATATTGTTGTGGGATTCAATTGTTTTACCTTTTTATTTGCCAAATTCATTAGTGTTTATTGATAAGATTGTTGATACTAAGAGTCATTAACTAGTAGTTGATTATTTCAGTTTGCAGCCAGTAAGAGACACAAGAGAGAAGCAGATACAATTATGGAAAGAGCTTATTTTGGATTATTGTAAAACACAGAAGACATTTGTAATTGGCCTTGAAGAAGAATTTCCTCTATTTACAAATCATGTAATTGAAAGTAAGCTCAAATTCCTGATTTCTGGTCATTTATGTGAAGTTGACAAGTCCCATATATGTTCCTGTAGTATTTGGTCATTTCCACGCTTTTGTTGCATGATTGTTTTCAGATTTTTCATCTTGCAGGATCTCTTACCCATGAAGCCAGAGAAGCTTTCCTTTCAGCATTAGTTTCTGAAGGTATGCTTCATTTGTGTCTATTGTTTTATTTTTCTTGTATTTGGCTCAGAGACAAATGTCGCAAATGTGTATTCTGACCTGACAGGTCGTGCAGAATGGATGGATAAAGGACACAGGAAATGTCTTATTCTCTGGCATCGGATTCAAGATTGGGCTGAAATTTTAATACAATTTGTAGGTTTAAATTACTGGTTTGATAATCACACCTGCAATTAGTTATTTATTACCTTGTTATTGAAATTGGTTTAATATTTGATCAGGCAAAAGAGAATGGGCTGGAAGATGGTGTTGTCACGATTGAAGAAATACGATCAGGGACTGAGTCTCAAGGAACAGGTAATTTGTTAATCCTTACAGGTCCTATACTAAGCTATAATGTGTGATGATTATGGCGCTTAAATGCTAATTGTTTTGTGTGTTTGAGTATGTTTCTAGGACTTGATAGTGGTTATTTTGGTAGGTATATTTTAGTAATATTGTTGCTTTTCAATTTGTATCCAATCAATGTGGTTAAATCAGACCTTTTGAATACTTATGTGGTTCTGGTAGTTGAGGGATAAATGGAAACTTTAATAGTATATTACTTTACTTGTATTTAGATTCAATATAGTATATAAGATGAAATCAATCTTAGCAGAGAATCAGTATCGCAAAAAGGATTTTTATTTATGAGCTGTGGTACAAGAATTATTCTCTTTACATTTTTGTTGCTTTTGAAACAGTATCTTGTGAAGTTTATGTTCTATATCTTTCTTAAGGGTGATTGGTAAATGCGCAAGCAATGGAACAAATACTGAAACAACTAAAACGGCAGGGTACGATTGGGGTAGATGACAGATTTAAAGCTTTGAAATTTTCATAATCTAAAACCAGTTTAGTTAGTTTCAATTTTATGATTTGGTGGTCTTAATATTTCACCGTTAGTTACCTACGACGAAATATTATGTTAACTATTGGTAACATGGTCTTAACCTTTGACTTAAGCTATTGTGGTGATCGAAGGAATTGTCTTGTCTTGAACCTCAGACCAATAGGGGTATTGCTGAAGCAAACCCTTAAACCAAGGAACAGATAGACTATCTTTGATTTAAGTTGAATGTTAATTGGTTTTTTATTTTTAATTTTAAATAATTTTTTTAAATATTTTGAAATTAAAAGAAAAATAAAAAAATTAAAACAGAAGACATGTTGTCTTCTTTGTGTGAATTGTGTTTTTAGACTGTTGTGGATGTTTGATATCAGAAAATAGTGTCCTTGGATGTGGCTTCCTCTATTTAGGGGGTAAAAAAAAAACTCATAAAGTAGACTTATTCTCTTCAGAAGTTGAAAATGAGAAGTACCCTTGTGAACCACCATAATATGTATTCTAATTTCTAAAGAAATATGGTGCGTGAACAACCCTTATCTAATTTATTATCTAGATGAAACCCAGTTGATAACTTTTGCTATAATTTTCCATTTTATGATGGTTGTTTCAATCTGAAATTGTAAATTAAAAAAACTTGTCTCACTAATAGCAGTAAAGTTTTTGGCTTTATACTGATATGATCCAATCCTTTGTGTTTAAAATGATCACATAAATGCCTGGGAATGAATGTTCACAACAGAGTAGTCGATGTTGTGAAAGTTCATGGCATACTTAGTGTAAATGGAGAGAGTGGTGTCGTGGTTGTTGCTCTGTTAGACCAAATATGCTTGAGAATGAGAGTGCAGACATTCAGAGAAGAGGAAAATGATACCTCTTCATTTTGTTTTAATCTCAGAAAGTTCAAAAATAGGGAAAAAATAATTGGAAAATGAAAAGAACTATAGATGGTCAATGTTAAACATAAATCAATGGAGATTATTTTACTTGATCCAAGGTAAATAAATGGATTTTGGTTAGTTAAAAGTTGAGTTTTTGCAAAATGTATACAGTTTAGAGGGGGATGGTTGGTAAAATCAATCCAACAACATTAATGCAAGAAAGTTAAAAGGCAAGAGGTGCATTCCAAGCGGGAATGCATCTGGACTCTTGAAAATCCCTTATCATAATGAGATATGGAAGAATAGGTGAGATAATTATAGCGCATGAAGTCTTTTTTATGAAGGAAACCTTTACTATATCATGTGATGAAAGAGGATACACCCAATGGAAGGGTCACCACCCTAGGTGAGAGAGGGGGGAGTTTTGTAGTTGGGAAACCTCTGATGTGATGTAATATAATGAAATACTTTGAGACAATTCTGTAAATGCAGACAAGAGGTTCGAACCTGGTAAATTTATGTCTTTCGTTGTTTTTTTCCTTGTGATGTTGTCATGTGTGCCCCATATACCTTTGATCCTCATTGTGTGTGAGAGGGAAGACTTTCCCAAACATTTGTATACCCTTTTTTCTTAATATATTGTAGTTATTTCTTACCTGGGCTTTGCAATTATTTTGACTGTATTTGGTTCTCGTTGTTTTTTATATTCTGCAGAGCTTCATGGAATAGATAGAACTATTTTGAATCGTGCACTGAAACTATTAGAACAGAAAGGAAAGCTCGTGGTTTTTAAAGGAACTTCAACCGACGACGAAGGGGTTAAATTTTCTATATAATTGTTTTTGGTATTAGTCCTTTCAATCTCAGTGGATTTTACTTGTATTAAGAACAATGAAGTTGTCCCTGTTTCAGTGGTTGCCTCCCCATGATAACAATCAAAACTTGACTGCAGAACTCTTAACATGTATTGGCCACCCCCGAATGATAAAAAAATGATTTTTTTTTTTTTAGTTATTAATTTTTTCTTCTTGCTTCTAGTCCCTAATTAAAATTTTGTGTATATGCTACATTTTTCTTTTCTTCAGTTCACATTTTTTGCTCTTGATATCATGTATTATTAAGTTAATGGTGTCAAAATAGGTATGAAAGATTTGAAAAATAGGTAAAATTAGTTAAAAAATCTTGTACCTTCAGTTAAATAAGATAAATTTTTGTTCAGTTCATTTAGTTCTTCGGTTAAATAAGTTGAAATAGATTTACTTGATTAAAAGAATAACAATATTTTTTATCTTTATCATTTTTTAAAATTATTTAATGATTAAATTAAATTATTATCTAGTATTATTATTATATTACTAAAATAATAAAATGAGATTGAAAATAAGTTTTTGATTTTTATTTTAAAAATGAATCTTTCTATTTATAATTTATATATTAAATTATTAAATCTAAAATAAAAATAAATTTTATTAATATGATTTAAATTTAATATTTTTAGATTAAGTTTATTGAATAAATTATTTTTAAATAAATATAATTTTTTTAATTTTTAATAAGCTAAAAGATGACTTATTGATCTTACATACGATAAGATTAAAAATAAATATAAACTATTTTTAAATATAAATTAGGCTAATCATTAATTTTTTTAATTTGCTTCGGTGAGAAGAGATTGAGTGACTGTTTGTTTTGACACATTTAATCTAACCGGTTTGATGGGATATTCTCACATCTAACAACTCGACACGTGTAATTTTTTAGAATTATGTTTCTAATTTTTTTATTCAAAATTAGTTGATAATTTTAAAATAGTTGATGAATGATTAAAAATAAAGTTAATTAAAATAATTATTATGATTGTTCCATCATACTATTAGATAGCGTAACTTTTTATTGTTTATATGTCATTATTACGTGGTGATAAGAAAAATAATAATAAAAAATATTAAAAAATAACATCAATCAAATTAATTTTTTCAAAATATAAAAGGTTAATACACAAAAATATATAGTAATCCTAAATATGTATATTGATAATTTTTTTAAAATGTTTTTTTATTACTTATTACAATATTAAGTAAAAATTTAATTACTTATAAATTACAAAAACGTTGTAAATAGTTTTAAATGTAGAATTATATATCTTTGAGAAGTGATATTACACCTTCATAGTATTATATAAAATAAATGTTAATAATTAATAATTTAAAATATTTTGACAAAATACAAAAATTATATTAGAGATGGTTAAAATGATACCTTTTATATTAAAACTTTGAAGTTTATGATTATATAACATGTAATCAACAAAACTACGTAACAATATTTTTTAATATTAGTTAGAAATAATATATTAATATATTGAATATGTAATAAATATATATACATTTCTAGTTACCATTAGTACAAGGGGTTATATAAATGGTTGCTTGGGTGCTTGACTAAAAAAAATAATTAGTAAAGAGAACATCAAATTAACCATATATATTATTGTGTATAATTTTAAGAATTATTATGATATTAATAGTTCGTTATGATTTTGAGTTGCATTAAATGAATGTTATATAGACTAATCAATGGGATTTATTAAAGAAGGAAAAAAATACATGGTGTGTAAACTTAATAAATCAATATACGAACTTAAACAAATTTTTCAACAATGGTATCTTAAGTTGAGTACCATTCTATCCTTTATATTTAAGGAAAATACTATTGATCGATGTATATATCTGAAGACCAATGAAAGTAAGTTTATATTTTTGACTTTGTCTGTTGATGATATCTTATTTACGACTAATGATCTTGGTCTATTAAGTAATATTAAGAAGTTTCTTTTGAACAACTTTGAAATGAAAGATATGAATGAGACATACTATATGATAGAAATAGAAATATTTTGTGATAGATCATAAAGATTGTTCAGTTTGTCTCAGAAAACATATATTAATAACGTTTTAGAGAGATTTAAAATAGATAAATGTTCAACATCTCTCATTCCAATATAGAAAGGAGACAAATTTAATCTTATGTAATGTCCAAATAATGATTTGGGACGAAAACAGATGAAAAATATCTCTTATGCATATGTTATTGAGAGTTTAATGTATGTTCAAATATGTATGAGACTACATATTAGCTTTGTAGTTGATATGCTGAGTAGATACTAGAATAATCTTGGGCTAGATTATTGAAAAGTTGTAAACAAAGTCTTAAGATCCTTATAAGAAACAAAATAATATGCTTAACCTAATCACATTGAAGTGATTTGATATACATATTCAAATTTTGTTGACTATATAGATATAAAAAAAATATACATTTGATTATATGTATCTTTTAGTCAGAAGAGTGATTTTATGAAAAAGTGCGAAATAATTCATCATTGTTGCATCCACTATGGTATGTTTTGAGGTCATAATTCAAGCTAATTGATTGCAAAATTTTATTAAAATACTTTATAATTAAGAGAAGAAGTTAAGAAATATAGAATGTCAATTTAATATATTAACCATGATCTTATGTTACTAAGGATTACTATCTAAGTAGTTTATTGACCATATAGAAAATATGTACATTATATTTATTAATTAATATTAAATATTAAAGTTATTATTTATACATTAATTATTTATGCATTTTTAAATATGAACAATGATTAAACGAATTTATATAATCACATATCACGGAGAGAGTGTCATTTAACATCTCACTGTCATTTAAATTTAATACATTGATTTTTTTTTCAATTAACTATCAATTAATGTAACTTAAATATGTAGCGTAGCAGAAAATCAAATGGCGTGTTTTCATTCATTAAATATAAAAATAAAGAAAGATGAATAATTTTTCATCTGTTTAATTATATAAACCATTAATTCAATATATTTTAAATATACTTTTTAACAATTAAAAATTTTGAATTAAATTTTATACAACTATTTGACAGAATATAACCACTAAACACACTTCCCCTAGTATCATCAGCCCAACGAAACTTATATATAAAAGTGCCAGCCTAATACTTATTACAACTCCAATACACGCAACGGCAAAGGCCCAATTTTTGGCTCATCATCCACCATATTGGAAACTCTCTTCCCCAAATTGATTGATTAATTGTTGTAACGCCTTCAGATAATTGGTTGCCATATGATCAAGTATCATCCCTCTTGAAAGTCTGAGCTTTTCATACAGTTCTGCAGCCGTTTCGTACAAGACATGCTTCTCATCAGAATCATCGTAGTGGTTTGATTTAGAATTTTTAGAGGAAGGTGCAGGGAGAATATGGATGATCCTCCCTGGTGGATAAAGACGAGGTCTACCCAAGTTGTCTGATGTTGCACCTGCACTACCTGCGGTTTTTTTCACTACGAACAACCTTAACATTCATCTCAATGTTTGTTATCACGTTAAAAAAATAGCATATTTTTTACATTTTTTTACTGACGAATTTGTAACATAAGTGAACATATAAAATTTGTTCTTAGCGATTTATCGCTAAAATAATAATTAATTAGTAATAAATATATTTATCGATAAATTATTAATTAATTATCAACGAATATATTTATCGATAAATTCATCGATAAATTAATAATTATTTATATAAATATAATTTATTTATAAATTATTATAATTTTTTTTTAATAATTTAATAGTTAGAGTATCAATTTAATCTTGGCAATAATAATTCTCTTAATTTAATAATAATTTCAAATTATAAAATTAAACTTTATAAAATACAATAAATAATTAAAATATTTACCATGTTCAAAAACAATCGGTAATTTCAATATTTTTGTAGTGTATTGTGGCTGCTTCTTTTTTATTGGCACCATGAATATTAGGGTCTAGTTGACGCTTCTTCAAAGATTGATTTAATTCTTTGTCAGAGACGGTGGGAGTAGTGATGATATGAGTAGCCGATATGATTTCCTCCTCTGCATCTTTTTCATCATTATCATATCCTTCACCGGAGGATTTATATCCTTCACCGGAGGATTTAGATCCCTCGTCATTATTACTGGTAAACTCGGAGATTATTAACTCTACAGTCACTTCATAACTTGTCTCTGCAGATCGAGAGTCTTCAGCCAAGTTTGCTGACTGAGTTCTTTGCTTATTCTACGTAATTAAGATTATTAAAGCATGTGTATCTTATATGAGAAATTTGTACGCAGAAAAGTGTGTTTGTTAAGAATGGATCAAATATGGTGCCCTCATATTTACGAAGCTGCAAGAGCAAACTCTTCATATATAGTCTAGTTAATACAGTTGTAATGTAAAAGTTTTTATTACTGACTGTAACTGCACTATGATTATAAAGTCAATTTAAAACCATGGTTAAACATAAACAAGGGAGGTTGAAGGTACCTTAGTGCCATGTGATACTGTATGACCTGCAGTGGCTTTTGCTCTGGATGCATATCGTGCGCGAACCCCAATATTTACGCTACAAGCAGAATTTACCAATGTTTACGCTTCAAGCAGAATTTATGAATTTCTCACGCGTAACATGAACCTGTAAATCATGCAACCAGTATTAGTTAGTGGTTTTTCAACCGATTTAGTCTATAAAGTCTTATACTTAATTCCTTCTTCTTAATTGAACAAGTAAAAAAGTCTGCACGTATTTTCTCTACTTATATTTCATTTTACCCCTTGAACTTTCATTATTTTTCAATGTCCCGATTTACCCACTTCTTTCTTTTTTTCAAGTATTTTTTTCTATTCTTGTCATCTAATTATATATATCATGTATAATAAAAAAACATTTATTTATAGTAAGATTTGAAAATCCATATTTAATTAATATGCTTTTTTAATTAATTCGACAATATATAAATATTGAAACTGATATTACATGAAAAATAAACTCCAAACGCACTATTATTAATTATATCCGGAATTTGTTAAACAAAGGTCATGTGACACGCGTGGCATTAATTTAGGCTGAACTAAGTTTAATGAAAGGTTGATGATGACTTTGAAAACTGTTCGGTCATCCAAATTAACAATTAATTTACTTATTAAAGTGTGAAAATATGGTTTTAAATAACCTTTTATGTTTGGTAAAGATCAGAATATTGGTGCTCATATGCTAACCCTTCGTCATTTTTCTTAATTCTTTTTCTTTCATCTTGGCAAGTTGTTTTCTTAATTCAATAAAATAAGAAACATAGTTGCGTTTACTTGTTAAAAAATATCTTATGAAAATATTAGGTATTTTGTGTGAATTTTTTTATAAAAATTTATTTAAATTTGTAAACATTTTTTTTGTAATTTTTATGAAAAATTTATAAAAATATTTTTCATATTTCTACTAAGGATATTCTCGTAAACTTAAATAAGATTTATAAATATATATATATATATATATATATATATATATATATATATATATATTATATAAAATGACAGTTTTGATGAAGTCTATGAGTTGTTAAGTCATATGATTTATAAAAAATATTATCAATAACTAAATTTGTTTGTTGAGTGATTGGTGGTAAAACATGGTTTGGTAAATAGTTGTCTATTTTCTAGTTGTTCTTCCACCATCTTCACTTCTACTTCTGGATATTGAGAGTTAGTTTATTAGTTTAATAGTTTATTCTATATCTAAATATTTGAATTAAAATAGATTTTTTTTTCAAATATTTCAAGATTCTAGCCAAATAAAAATATATAAGAATTCTCTCTCAAGTGAATCAAATTTGATGGAGAAAAAGAAAGGAATTATTAAAAGAAAAAATAGATAAGCTCGCTTAAATAATTTACCCAAGGTTAGAACACTGATATAATAACAATTTCATTTTTTCAAAACATCTATTATACAATTTATATTTAATAATATAATAATAAAAATAAAATTTTAAAATTGTATTAATATTATATTAATAACTAGAATTGTGGTTATTTTTTAAATGAAGTTGTCACGGTGAACTTTTCCTTCGGGTCTCATTCACCGAGGAATATTTAATTGGCACGAGGATATGGAAAATGATACTTTTATAACTCAAATTTATATAATTCTTATAAACAACTCTTTTTTAATATTATAATAATAGTTTTGTTTTATTTTTATTTTTATTTAATCACTTTATAAATTATTATATTAATAAAAGTGAGTTGTTTGAAAGGTTATATGATTTCTAGTTGTCAAAATATTTTGATATTAAGCCAAAGAACCAAGTTACTACTAAAACCGATGAAAAAACAAATAAACAAGTGCATTCTAATAGAATATAGAGGTAGATATAAAAGAATAAACTCTTGACTTGGTTTGTTTCATTAACAATATTAAGAGAAATTACTAGACTAAAAAACATAGAACATTTAATTTGTATTATTTGTTATGTGATACACACCTAACCTATTTATAAAGGTTATTCAGAGGTTAATTGTAACTTGTTTTAGGTATCAGAGAAGTTCTATACTTACTCCTTAATAATTACGTTGTATTTGACGGGTGAATATTAATATTGAACTTGTTAAGACACATTAACATATATATATATATATATATATATATATATATATATATATATATATATATATCAGTAAAGTTGGATTTCAAATGTAACTGGATACTGTTATGATATCAGTGTTTTAATATCATGCATTACTCTGAAATGGAGACGGAAGGTTAAGAAGTAAATGGATGAGATGAATGGTGATAATAAGGAGTAATATATTCGATGGAGTATCTGATTGGTGTATAGAGATGGATGGGATTCCAGCCTTACCAAGCGGTTGATGACAGTATACAGTACTTGCTCCATCTACCACTGGCTACATTACTTTATATTTATACTGGTTATGATCATGATAATGCTGCTATAGATTTTTTATTTTTAAAATAAGATTAAAGCCGAGAAGAAGCGTGTTGACTCGTGTAAATTAGGAAAGAGAAAAAAAAAATTCTTTAACGACATTATTATACGTGAGTCATTATTAAAATAAACGTCATGATAATTCTTCTTCTTCCTTTTTCTCCCCTTGTAAAGTATTTATCTTCTTTTCAAAATGTTTCACTTTACTAGGAATGTCTTAAAAAATTACCACAAGAGAATGATAATGAGATATAATTTTATAGTGAGAAAGAGATTCATATTACACTAAAGAAACTTCAATCCAACGAATAGTGGTGAAAGAAGAAGAGTTGTAGAGGGTTTTGATAGATTGATGAGTTGATGTTGTGCCAGAAAAAGTAATAACAGGAGCAACGAAAGTTTATAAATTTGTTGCAGAAAAAAAAATGATATATCTACTTCTTCTTTTTATCTTGAAAAAAGAATTCATATTCTTTTTAAGAATCTCTAAAATTCTACTTATTTTTTTATATTTTAACATTAAAATTAAGTATCATAAAATATTAAAATAACTAATTAGTTAAGAAAATAATATATATGTTAATATGTGATGAATTAATCTCATATATAATATATTTTAAAAAAATTACATAAATATAATATCTCTAATACTAAACTAGACTTATTTATCATTTATACACAACATTCAACAAGCAAAATAAATTCATCAACAAGATAAAATAATTTTTTCTTATATAATATAATTATTTTCCTCTCTTTTCTTATTCATTTACTTAGTATTTTTTTCTCTGTGGTGATTTAGTATTTGTTTTCCTTTATTGTCTTTTTTCTCATCTTTGGTTCTTCTATCACCCTATGTTATTCTTCAATTAAAATAATACATTGAAATTGATAAGATGAGTTTTTTATAATTATTGAAAAATAAAAATATTTGAGTGATCCAAAAATATTATAATTTAATATATTATATTTAAAAAATGTTATATAATAAATTTAAAATATTTATTTGATATATTTTTTTAATATTTTTTTAAAATTATCTAATCTAATTAATTATCATAACTCAATCGAATTATAATTAGATTACATTATTAAATAAAAATAAAATTAATTTATAAATATTTGATATTTTTTAATTAGATAAATAATTATTTATTATGATAAAATAATTTAAAATTAATTAATTATTATCAAAATAAATTAATTTATTTATTATCATCATACTTTTAAATAATTAGTTAATATTTTTTAATTTCATTGTTAATTTTAAAATATTTATTTTAATATATTTTTATTAAATTTTGATATAACAATTTAATTAAAAGAATAAATAAAAAAGGAATGAGTCAGAATGAGAAAAAAATATGAAAAGAGGAAAGAAAAACTATATATTAACCGTAATTAATAGAAATTTGATTTAAATAATTTTTTTAAAAATATATTATTCATAAATTTCAACAATAATGAATATAAATAATAAAAAAATTATTTATGTAAAAACTAAAAAGAAAACATATAATTTTTATGTTGTAAAATAAAAATAAAAAAAGAGAAAAATATGTAAATAAATAATAAAAAAAGAAATGTAAAATAAAATGATGAAAATTTAAAGTTAAGATAAAAAAAGTGTAAAGATGAGAGAGAAAAAAATAAAAAATATGAAAATAAAAAAATGAGAAAAAAATATAAATAAAAAGTTATATAAAAATTAAAAATATTAATTATAATTATTCTATAAAAAATATAATAAATTTTTGATTATTTAATTTTAAACTTTTTTATAATTATATATATATATATATATATATATATATATATATATATATATATATATATAATTAATTAAAATTTGGGGTCCGGACCACCCACGTCCCCTGATTCCGCCCTTGTCTCTCACGATTATGAGATTCTTAATGTTTTTGTTAAGATCAGATATAACAAAACTTTTGCTCATTTAACTTTCTTATAAACCACAATGCTTAGGAAAAAAAAAACAATCTGAATGAAATTTCAAAAACTTATTTGATAAAAAAAAGTCCGATAAATCCTCAATTTTTTTTTCAATTATTATAAATATTATTTTAAAAATAGGACCGAACTACTCAGTTTTAATTAGTTTAATCAGAAAACGATTTAAAAATAATTTATTATTTTAAATTTTAATTAAATTAAAAAAATTGATAAAACTAATAAAATAAAAAAAATCGATGAAAATTTTAGTTTGAATCAGTTTTATTTTTTATTTAAAAATCAATCAACTATTTTTAAATAAGTGAATTTTAATTGAATTGAAAATTTGAAAATATTTTTTAATTTATATCAATTTTAAAAAAATAAATTAAAGATCAAATTTGTTTAATATAATTTTTTTATAAAAATATAATATATTTTTATTTTTTTTAAATCTTATATTATTTTATTGTATTTTTGTCTTATTTTAATTATTATCTATTTTATATATATAAATTTACGATAATATAAGTGATAATTAATTTTATTATTTTTTATAAAAATTATTATTAATAAATTTATTATATAATTATTATGTATATTATAAAAGTAATATTTTATTAAATTTAGTTAGACTTTTTACTTAAATTTTAAACTCTAAATTCATATAATCATTCATCCAATTTTAAAAACATTCATTTTAACATTTTTTTGTTTTTTTCAATTAATTATAATCACATTATAGCACTATCATAAATCCAACCCAAACGCAACATTAACAAACTATTTCATTATATTAACACCAACATACTAATTAACCATTTTGTCGTTTTGAGGATGAGATAAAAAAAAATGTTATAATAACCTAAATTCAACAAATTGATAAATAATATTAAATTTAATGTTCAACTTTGACCAATATTTCATATCTCTGACAAAAAAAACATTAAAAAGATAAAAAAAATGCATGTCTCACAAAAACAAAGTAGAAAAAAATTAACACGGTGTTTGGTGTTTCCTTGATAATTTCTACGAGAAAGTATCACAGTACAATTAAATTGACAAGAAGAAATCATATATATTTTATTGAATTAAAAAACAACATATGAGATGTACTAAGAAGAAGTCAAATTAATGCCAAAGTTGACGTCAATTTTTAAATACAATTATTTACTGTACTTATGTCATCTTGTGGTATGTTAAAAAAAATGTTGAATATTAGGAATAAAAAAATAATTTTATATTTAAAAGATACGAATACAAGTGCTAAAATTAAACTAATGACAAAAATAAAAATTATACTTAAAAAAATGTATTTAAATTTTAATTCATCATTTGTAATTAAAATAAAATTGATTATTTTAGTTAAGAAAGTCTTTTATTAAGTCAGTTTATTTTTTGGATTAGTAATTATTCAACTGAAAAAATGTAACATATTTAAATTAAAATAAACTTTTTTTTTTTACATCATATCATATGAGATTTGATGTAAATTTTATTTTATATATTTTTTAAGATTTCGTTTTTTTGTTCTTGTACGTGTAAGGTTTTTCTTAACAATGATAATAGAAACGACACAGTGACCTTCTTATGTATTTTCCAGTTAAGTGATGATGACTCTATTATTGAAATGATATTGTGGTTCTGAAAATTTTCTTTAATTATATTGAAATATTTAAAGTGCGATTAAAATCAGTTTTTTATGTTTTTATTTTTTTATAGAAATCGAAGTCATGATTATTTTTTATCATCTTAATCACAATAATAGATGAATATTTATATTACATTAAACGTTGATTGGTATTAAAATATGTGGTGTTAAATTTTGAGATTATTTGTTTAAATTTAAAATTTAATTTTGTGTACCATCCAAATGATCAACTCTTTCAGTCAAGAGATTTTGTGCAAAAATAATTTGAAGCAGATCGACTTGAAGATTGATAAAGAGCGGTGATATTTGACAACTAGAAATAATTAATCCTTTTAGATAATTCACTTTATTAATATGATAATCTATGAATAATTTAATAAAAATAAAAATAAATTCAAAATTATTATTATTATTATAATATTAAAATAAAATTGTTTATAGGAGTTGTATGGATTTGAGTTGTGAAAGTATTATTTTTATTAATAAAAAACTTAAATCTTTTTTCCGTTCTCAACGATATATTAAAAAAACACCTCGTACACTTCAAAATATCTTCGACTAAGAATTTGATGAGAAGTCCATTTTTCATAGACCAAATTTGTGTATGAGCTTGGAAAATGTTCAAGTAACTCATTTTCCATCCCTATTACAATTTACTAGATGATGGACGTTCCTCTTTATTTTGGGATAACAAAATTATATCCGATTCCGTAGCCGACTAAGTAAATTTAAATCTCCCATATTGACGTATAAAATAATATACATAAAAAATCTCTTTGATACTGATCTCACATCCATTCATTTTACTTTATAAGATAAATTAATTTGCTGGTAAAAATTTGAAACTAAATGGCATTTGAAATAATTGTGATCTAAATGTAGCCACTGATAAAAGGATCCTATTGCTCAACTTGTTTTAAATTTAGTTCGATATTAGTTTTATCATCACAGTGGCTTTGGATTTCTATATATAGTTCTTTTAGAATGATTGATAAACCTTATTTTATTTATTGACATGTATACTGAGCTCCTTCTATAGAACAGTATTTATTAGGTATTTAGATGGATTTAGAGGTACTTTTTCTCTTTTGTGTAAAAACTGAATAAAAAAACTGAATTAATTAATGTTAAAATATTGGGTGGTAAATAAGCATGTTCATATTGACCTAGTTATGCTGGCTAAACAATAGTTTAGACATGGATTTGACTAGCTTGACCTGTTTAGTTTATTGTGTCAGGCCAAAGTAATCCAAAATTATTTGAATTTCTAATTTTATAACAGACAGGTCTCTATTTTGAAACAACACGACATGCAGCATGTTTATAAGATTGAATTTTTGAAAAAATAATTTAATATAATCATTTTTAAAAGTGGGATTTTAATGTTATCTTTATTTTCGATAATTAGATTCTCAAATTATATTTAATTTAAAAGATTAATTTTCTTTAGATATTTTTAGAACTATTTTCTGAGAAAAAAATATAATTTATTACATTTATTATATTTTTGAATTAATTTTATTTTCAAACACGTTGAACAAGACTATTAGTGAAGAATTAATCTGTTTAATTTTTTATCAAATAAAGTAAGATAAAATTGTTAAAATTGACTGTAATACGGATTACGAATCTCGTTATAATAAATTTTGATAATATATTAAAAATTAGTAAGTATTTAAATTAATCTTATAAATTTATTTTATAAGATCAATTTTACATTTTAATTATATGTTATGGTTTTTTCATTTTTTTCATAGAATATTTAATGCATTGAACTACTATATAGATGAACAATTTATTGATGTTTTTTTGTATTTTATTAACCAAATCAGGTTCATTTTGGTAAGAACACTGATATAATAACAATTTAATTTTTTCAAACATCTACTATACAATTTATATTTAATAAAATAATAGAAATAAAATTTTAAAATTTTATTAATATTAAATTAATAATTAGAATTGTAGTTGTTTTCCAAATGGAGTTGTGACTGTGAACTTTTCCTTTGGGTTATGTCCATCCCATTCACCGAGCAATTTTTAATTGGCATGGGGGTTTTGATATTAAGCCAAAGACCAAGTTACTACTAAAATAATTGAACCAATGATAAAACAAATAAACAAGTGCATGTAATAGAAAATAGAGGTGGATATAAAATAATAGGTTGCCAAAGTTGATGGTAGATGTAAACCCTTGACTTGGATTTCAAATGAAACGACAAGAGTTTGTAATTGGACATTGTTGTGATATCAGTGTTTTAATATCATGCATACTTTGACTGAAATGGAGAGTAGACGGAAGGTTAAGAAGTAAATGGATGAGATGAATGGTGATAATAAAGAGTAATATTTGATGGAGTATCTGATTGGAGTATAGAGATAGATAGGATTCCCAGCCTTACCAAGTGGTTGATGACAGTATACAGTACTTGATCCATCTACCACTGGCTACATATGAAGAACAATGTAACACAATTAAATGGATATTGTAGTTTAATTGTCGGATTACTAAAGAAAATATGTAAGATTAATACCACTTCACGTGGCCACTACATCGTGGAGCCAATGGCATCACCTGAAACGTTTTACTTTTCTTTACTTCCAATAAGTCAACCCAGACAAGTAAAACCACTTGTCTCACGCATTCCTATATAAGGTCCAGCTTCGTTGGCTCTTGAGACACACACCAACTCCAACCTAATATATCATACTACTTTCTTTAACTCTTCTTTTTCCTTCATTTTCCTCAACTTCTTTCTTCTTAGCAAATAATGGCGGTAAGGAATGAAAAGAATGGCGTGAGGATTGAACGAAGGGAACTTGAGGCGCCCAAAAATTTGATGGAGGTAATCGTCATATTAGCGGAAGCGATAATGTTGCTCTGTTACACCGAGAGACGCTACATCTTCAACTTGCCCAGAGCCATCGCTCACGCTGTGTTGGATAAGGTGCTTTACTACTTCTTATCTATCTATATCTATCTATCTACATATATATATATATCGATTTACGTTAGGGTTTCTTAAAATAATTCTTCTTATTCTCATTGTGGGTACAATTTTGCTTATTTTTCAATGCAGGATAAGAAAACAGTCGCAAGTGAATGCGGTGAAAGAAGTGATTGTGCAGAAGTGAAAGATCTCGAAATCTTAAAGGAGTTATATGAGTTGAAGAAATTGTTGACACGTGCCATGCTTTTCAGCAGCGGCAAACGCTTTCTTGCATTTCTATTTGCTGCCGGATTCCAGCAGGAGGATGTCCTCCTAAGGAAGAGAACTGCTAGGGTACGTTCATTCATCATTATTATGTTTGTTTATGATTTCTTTGGACAATATTCACAACTGAAACATAATTTTTAATGTCATGTCAGATTCTGAAGCCTGCTTTCACGGTTATACGTGATAGAGAATCAAAGTGTTTGCTTGTGTTCATCCGTGGGACGCGTAGCATCAAAGACACGTTGACAGATGCACTCTGTGCTCCCGTCTCCTTCCATCACAAGATGGTTTCAGGACATGCACACCGCGGCATGGTTGCTGCAGCTTCTTGGATTACAAAGCACTGCATTCCTGTTCTTCTTGATGCTCTTCATCAATACCCCCACTTCAAAATCAAGGTATTCGTTATACTCAATTACTATTTTTCATTGATTTGAACTACTTATTTTTTGTTATGATAATAATAACATTTCCTTATAGATCGTTGGGCACTCGCTTGGTGGTGGTACTGCTGCACTGTTGACTTATAAGCTTAGAGAAATGGAACAGTTCTCTTCAACAACTTGTGTCACATTTGGCCCTGGTATACAAACCTATTTAATTTACACATGTTCAATTGAGTAACCAATTCAATAGGATATGTTTTATATTAGAATTAAATTATCACATGATCTTTAGTATTAACCAGGTGTGAATTGATTGTAATTTTTGCAGCTGCCTGTATGACATTGGAGTTAGCCGAATTCGGGAAACCCTTTATCACTTCTATCATAAATGGTTCTGACATAGTGCCCACACTGTCAGCTTCTTCTGTTCATGATTTCATTGCTGAGGTAACAACTGAGATGATTGTCAAATATTAATTTATGTTATAGCAGGTTAAATTATGATGATGATGATGATGATGATGTTGTTGTGTTAGAAATTGTTTCATTCATTTCTCAAGTGTAATAAGCTTTAATGATTAGGTCAGTGGAAAGGTATTTATCGAATAATTTACAGGGTCGGATTAAGGATAAAAACATCCTAACCGCACTTGGATCTGGCTTATCATTTGCGAAAGCCATTGCAGAACATGCAATAAACTGTTGCCCCGAGGTAGCTTCAAGCTCTCTTCTTTTTATTATATTTGACATTGAAATCTCCTATTGTAGGTGTTCACTAGACTCTAACATGAGTTTCCTCCTTCAGTTATATTATGTGTTCATTTAATATATACATCTATTAATTATTACAACATTGATCCTTATCTATGCCTAAAGGTTGTGAACAAGCACAAATACTCGTTGTTACCGTGGTCCCAACGTGAGAATATTGACACATTGTCAGATAACTTGGCTGAAGCTTCTCCATTATCTGAGACAAGTTTTGAACCTCTTTTAAGTGAGGAGCACTTACTCATAGAATCTTCTGATGATGACGAATATAATTCTTCCAGTGAAGAATGTGATGATGATGACTCAGATGATGACAAAGACCAATTGTTGATTCAAGTGGGGAAGCTTAAACTGGAAAAACATGTTAATATCCCTAACATTCATGCAAAGGAGAAAAATATGATCGAAGAAGATAGTACTTGTCCAGTCACAGCTTCAGGTAGGCGACGTCTTTATCCACCAGGCAGGATCATGCATATGATCCCTTCACATTCGTCTGAAAATTCAAATTCAAACCACCTTATGTGCTTATATGAAACGCCTACACAGCTGTATGGAAAAGTCAGATTTTCAAGAGGGATGATATTGGATCATCCCACTAACAAGTATATGAAGAAGTTACAACAATTAATCAATCAACTAGAGAAAGATCAACCCAAATATAGCGTAGAATGAGCCAATTAAAGAATAGTAAATGTGAGAAAGTAATTGATACTAATTTGCTCATGGAGCCTTAGAATTAAAATTTGACCTCCTGATTCTAATTCTCAAAGTTTGTTTATTATTTGTAATTGTTGAATAGGTAACATATTGTAAGAGTTTGTTATTTATCAGAAGTGTTTAAATGTTTTTTTTTTTGTAAAGTATAAAGGGTTACTTCAACCCATATACAGCATAATTAAATCAAATGAAAGAAAAGTAAAATAATATGTCCCAGTCACTAACACATCAAGTTATGAATTTTGCACTTGTTTTAATCAACCCTACTTCTGCATCGAATTTCTCATTTTTAAAAATACACTTATTCCTCTGAGGCCAGATTTCGTATACCATTGTTACTATAGTCTTTTCCACAATATATTTCTCTTCACTCTTAGTCCTCCTTATACGAAGCTTTCTAGGTTTGTTTTCGTCTCCCACTGACGCACATAACTAATTTCCATCCATCTAAAACACTTTTCTCAAATCTCCCTGGTCACCTTACATGTGAAAAAGAGATGATTGATTATTTTGTCCTTGTTTCCGCATAAAGTATATTTTGGGTCACTTATAACAACTCCTCTCTTAACTAGATTCATTTTAGTAGGGATCCTATTATGAAAAATTCTCCACCCTATAACCATGATCATAGGGATCCCCTTAATTTTCCAGTACCATTTGAAGATCGTTTCGTTCTTTTTGCAAGTTACATTGGATATAATCTCTACCTTTTTTTTTTTTTACAGTAAATCCTTTATTATTATTTTAAATGTTAATTATCCTAAGAACAAGCAATGTATTTGTTTCTTTTGAACTCTATTTATAAAGTCATCCAATAAAGTGTTCATGTTTCCCTAACATTTTAATGGTCAAGAGTGTGAAACACTATTTACAATGATGATGGATAATGTTTCATGTTCAAGTCTAACTTAGGAAATAGAGAAGGAATACGAGATTTGTAAATTAATAACAAATCCTACAACTCAATCGAAGAATTGTAAAATTGAAGGAATAATTTTTTTTGTCAAAATTGATACTTAGGTCTACCAAAGATGACAGAGACTTCGGGATACAAAAGCATGCATGGAAGATAATGATTTTTCTGGAAAAAAAATAGTAAAAGAAAAAAAAACCCTACATGGCTTTAACTAAGGAAAATAACAAATATATTATTATATTTTAGGGTACACATCACACACCAATATAACAATTGGTGAGGAGTGTTGAAATATTGTAAACGAAAAAAAATAAAAATGCTTGAAAGAATAAAGTTAATCTTAAATCTAGAGAGGTATAATTGAAACACAAAATATGTAATTAAAAGTCAAATAAACAATCTATAAATTCAAACCCTTAAGTCATTAAGGAACTAAATAAATGGAAATAATGACTCATACCAGAATATTAAGGAAGAAGCTATAGAAATTCAACATTTGAATCTCCACTAATCATTCATACAGAAAAACTCCATTGAAGATCTCCAAAATCTCACAACTGTCATGTGTCACTCACTTGCAATTGTTGACACGGTATTTAATTTTAGGTACGAATGTGAACGAGCTGCGAAGTTATTTTAAATATCCTTAATAATGTACTACACTAAGTTTTGATATCCTAATGGAATATGGAGAGTTTATTTGATCCTTCTAATTTGAATTTCTTAAAATTCAGGGGATTAAGAGATAGGAATATGAAATTTTATCAAAAAAAAAAAAAAATTTACGTAGGTGAAGAACAACGGATGCTGTGTTTATATAATATTGGTTAAGCTCATGATAATGGTGCTACATATTTTTATGCCTTGATGATAACATGTACAAACCACTGCCTTCATAATATTTTTCTTGTAGAGTATTTAAAAATGGGAAAGTATGAAGAAAATTTTATTTTATTTTTTAAATTGAAGCTGAAAAAGTTTCAATTTGTTTTATTTAAAAAAAGTAATAATATTTAAAACAGTGTTCTTTGAAATGTTTTTTAGTTAGATTCACTTACAAAATCATTTTTATAATTTTTTTTAACAACTATCTATAGTAAATAAATATTTATTACAGTTATTTCATCACATAGTAGGAAATTAAAATTTCTGAAAAAAAATTTCAAGTTACTCTTTGTTTTGCAGAAAACTTACAAAACCATTTAGATCAACAAAACAGGTCTTAATATTCTAAGTATCATAACTTTTAGACATAAACAAATTTTCAAGTATCAGATTTCCATAAAGATCGCCATGGAGAAATGGTGTTGGAATTTAAGTATTTTGAACCTCGGATAAAATATTTCAAAATTTTAAGAAATGAAAAATGTATAAAAATTCAACTATTTCAATACTCTTTATTTGATAAAGTAATCCTTTTACTTTAATTTAACTGCATTGTGTTTTTATTTAAAATTTCTTCGTATTAAGTATCAATTGAAACTCTAATGATTTAAACAATTCATTCAAACTACTAATATTTAAATAGTTCCTCAAAATTTAATATTCAAATAAATAATTTTAATATATAATATTTTTAATTAATCCAAAGTTTAAACACTGAAATCCTTTCCAAAATTTTCACCCAAACATATAAAAGAACTTCAAATAACTTTGACCAATGTATCATATAAGAATTGCAAATACATAAATAAAGGGTTGATTTTGATTCATTAATAATCGCTGTTATTTTCTGATACTAGGAAAACCACAACCACACAAAACACACTTTCTCCTAGTACCATCTGCCCCACCAACCAAGGTTACACATAAAAGGTGTCACATTAAGACTTATTACAACTCCAATACACAACAACATGATAATTAATATTAGAATAATAATTAAAGAGGCCCCAAAGTTCAATTCGAAGGTTCCACTGCCAATTAGCTTGTACCAATATTGTATCATTATCCACCGTGTTGGGAGTTCTCTTTCTCGTGTTGTTGATTGATTAATTGTTGTAACGCCTTCAGATACCTGCTTGTAAAATGATCAACTATCATCGGTTTTGAAAGTCTGAGCTTTCCATACAGTTCTCTAGCCGTTTCATACAACAAGACATGCTTATCGTCGGCATCATCATAGTCGTTTGACATAGAATTTTCAGAGGAAGGTGCAGGGACAATATGCAAGATCCTTCCTGGTGGATAAAGAGGATGTCTTTTCAAGTTGTCTGATGTTGCCACAGCACCACCTCCAGTTTCTTCACCATGAACAACCTCATCATTCTTCTCTGCTTCTGTGATGCCTTCTTTTGTTGCTACTTCTTTTTCATTGGCACCATGAATGTTAGGGGTGTCATCCTGCGCCTCTAGTTGAACTTCCTTCAAATATTTATTCAATTCATCGTCAGAGGCAGTGGGAGTAGTAATGTTGCGAGTGGCAGATATGATTCGCTCCTCCTCGTCATCCATGTCATCATTATCAGATCCTTCACTGGAGTATTTAGATCCCTCGTCCTCATCGCTCGTAAACTCGGAGATTTTTATCTCTTCAGTCACTTCATAACTGGAATGTGATAGTCGAGAGGCTTCAGCCAAATTTTCTGATTTTGAGGTTGTCAATGGAACAGTATTCTCACGTCGGGGCCAGCTTATCAGTGACCGAGTTCTTTGTTGACTCTTCATCACAACCTTTAGGTACAAAGAAGAATCTCTATGTAATTAAGACAAATAAAACATGTATATTATATGAGAAATTCGCATGCAAAATGTGTTTGTTACTATGTAAAGGTTTTTTTTCTTCTTAATGTAATTGCATTATGATGGTAAAATATAGACAAGGGAGGTTAAAGGTACCTCGGTGCCACGGGATACTGCATGATCTGCTAAGGCTTTTGCATTAGATGCAAATGGTATGCGAGATCCAATTGCCCTAAAAGCAGAATTTATGATTTTCTTACGCTTAATCAGACCCTGTAAACCATGCAATCAGTATTGATTATATTTAGTGACCAAATAGAAGCCAACTCGAGCAAAGAAGGAACTATTCTCTTCTTGATAACTTTATCCTAAATTTAGCCATTAGCATAAATAATTATTTGTCATGTATAAATGAAAAATTTCCAAATGCATGTAAAGTTGAAAGAACTAATTTGAGCACCTCGGAAATGAAATCATGAACAGAAGCAGCTGACAATGTAGGGATTATGTCATAACCATTTATAACGGAAGTCACAAAGGGCTTCCCATATTCCGCCAACTCCAGTGACACAGAAGCAGCTGCATGAAAAATTATAATTGTGAAACAACAAAACGACTTAATTAATTAGCAATAATGATTATTACATTACAGGTGAAATTCGCAAAAAAAACATGTTATGTACGTTATATTTAGTGTTGAAATGTTATCTCTCTCTCTCTTAATAAATGCCTGAAGTGTCACGTATTTTATTATCACCAGAAGAAATATAGATATAAATATACTAACGGAACTTTGTTGCATCAAAATATGAAGAGATTGATTCCCAATATATTTTCAATTGGCGTTATAAGACAAGAAAAAGAAATATTATGTGTAAACAATAATTATAAAACAAATGAGTTTCATGGTAGCCGCCACATTTTAACTCGCCTCTTCTTTACACACACATATTGGGATCGCATTTTGTAACTATCAGATCATAAAAGATATTAGTTGTCATAAATTGATAATATATAGTTCTTGGTCATAATAACAATGTTTATAATATAATAAATTAGTTTAAATACAGTTTCATATAATGACCCTCAAATTAATTAACTGTCAATACTTAGTTATTCTAGATCAGTTTTAAGACACTGCTTACCACGATTTCAAAACTATTTAGAATTAATTCTTGTAAAGAGTGAAGTAAAGAAGTTGGTATAATCACATGCCTGGGCCAAAGGTGACACAAGTGCATGAAGAGAACTGCTTTATCTCTCGAAGCATATATGTCAAAAGCGCAGCAGTGCCACCACCAAGCGAGTGCCCAACGATCTATCAAATCAAGATTATTATAATTATAACAATAAAAAAAAGGGTCAAATATAGGTTGAGTTGCAGAGAATACATAATTTTAGTTTATAAGAAAATTGAAGGAAGAATGTGGCATTCAAAGTAAAGCATATATAATACCTTGATTTGAAAATCGGGGTATCGACGAAGTTCATCAAGAAGTGTAGGAGTGCAATGCTTTTTTATCCAACGAGCTGCAGCAACCATACCACGGTGTCCATGTCCTGAAACCTTGTTGTTCCTTTTTAGCTCACCATCACTGTAAATGAAATGATTGAAGGAAACTGGAGCACCGATTGCATCTGTCAGGAGGTCTTCTATGACTTGAGTTCCACGGATGAACACAAAGAAACATTTTGATTCTTTATCACGTATCACAGTGAAAGCAGGCTTTAGAATCTGCCAAAAAAAGTTGTTAGTTAAACTGAGATTTGATAGATTTGCTTCCTCTTCAAGCATATAATAGAATATGAAAACAAAAACCTTTTTTAGAATGTAAAGAGTAGAACTAAGGAAAAAATTGAGAAGGGAAACGTATATACCCGAGCTCTTCTCTTCCTAAGGATAACATCCTCCTTGACGAATCCAGCAGCAAACAGAAAGGCAGGAAAGCGTTTTTTGCTGAAAAGCTTGGCCCGTGTCAAGCATTTTTTGAGCTCATACAACTCCTTTAATTCGGGGTCTTTCAGTTGTTTACAATCGTCTCTTTCTCCACATTCGATTGCAACTGTTTTCTTACCCTATATATATATAAGAACCCAGTAAGGACATTAACTAGTGAAGAAAACTTAAAAGAAGGGAAAGTTGGAAATGGATTTACCTTGTCGGCGATAGCATAAAGGATGGCTCTAAGCAACTCCAAGACGTTCCATTTGCCTAGTGTCTCTGCATAGCCGAACCTGATGGCTTCTGCTAAGGTCAAGACCATGTCCATGGAAGTTTTGGGCGCCTCAGCTGGCCTTTTTTCAAGCTTCACCGAAGCCCTCTTAACCATTTTGGAGAGTATCATTTTTCCCAGTAGAAGGAAGAACTATAACGAAGAAAGACGAAAGATTTCACTGACCTTGGAGTCTAAAGTGGGAAGGAAGTGTGACCTTATATAGACATGAGAAGCTTGGTTTTTCCATAAAATAGTTATTATAGGAGCTCAAACATGGTATATTTTACTATATTTTCTTTTTAGTTTACTCTCTCTTTTTGCTTAAACTTTACATTTTTAAAATCACGAATGAATGAGATTTATTAATTAAAGGACCAACCCTATGGGTCTATCTTTTATCTTCTCCATTATGTTTGTAACAATATAGAATAGAAAAACACTAAAAAAAAAAAAAAACGAAACAACTTGGTATTGTATATAACAAAATTACATAAATCGTTCAATACCAATGTTATACATATATAAAAGTGTAATTGAGAGCAATTCCCAAATTGTTAAATCACACTTCATGTTAGATGATCACCATTAATTATCAAATCGTCTATTCAATTTCAGATTGTCTATTATCAAATTATTATATCATCTTTACATTTCTCTTCGTTTTATCCACTTACTCTCTTTTGCATGTAATAATTATAATTCTTTGGATCAAATTATATATATATATATATATATATATATATATATATATATATATATATGATGTATAGCGAAAATAATATTTGATGATAACGTAATTATTATAATTCAAACATTATAATAATTATAATAAGTTACGCCAATACTATAATTTAGAAACATTTTTTTCATATTAATTTAAAATTGAACTAAAAAGTATTTTTTATGTAAATTCAATTTTCAATCAATATAATAAATAATTTTATATACTAATGTAATTTTGAATTGACATAATAACATGTTTGCGAGAAATAAAATTATAAAAAAAATAATATTAGATTATCTATAATAATTATATTAAGAACCTAGGAAATAAAATTTAATATATAAGCTATTTAACCATCAATAGAAAATATATTCTCTATGTGTAACATGGACTTTAAAGCTAATATAGAAAGTTTCTACAATAGTGACATTATAATAGTGGTTTACATATTCAACAATAAAAATATTTAAAATTGATATATCTGGAATTAATTAAAAACCATGTGACGTGGGTGCCGATAATGTTGGCGGAAATAAAGTTATGGATGAATAGTTTATCCTGATGCACTTCTGTCATTCATATTAACAATTAGTTTACATCTTAAAGTGCGAAAAATATGGTTTTTAAATAATCTTTTATGTTTGGAAGTGATCCAAAATATTGGTGTTCACATGATAATCCTCCATCATTTCTCCTAATTTTTTTTCTTTCATCTGGTAATAAGCTGTTTTCTTGATTAGCGTAATCACTAACATCGTTGACGTTTTGCCTGGCAAGAGAAAGTCTCTTCAATTTTAATACACTGCATTCTCTTCACGTTGAAATTAATTACAAGATTCATTCCCGACAGAGGATTTTAACAGATAATAAAACTTACTATTTTAATTTTGAGATATATTTTAATATTTGTGTGTATATAAAAATAACAATTTTTTCTATTATATATCACCACTTCTCTTCTTCTTCTTCTTCTCTTTTTCGTATTTTTCTTTCAGACTTTATGAGTTTCGATTTAATCTTTTCTTCTTCTTTTCTTTTCTTAAATAATTTTGGTCGTTTATCTTTTAATTTGATTCAATTGAGTTCTTTTAAAATTAATAGTTATTGTTGTTAATTTTAGTAAGGTCTTGAACCCATTTTTAACTAATTGAGTCCATGAACGATCGAATTTGCGGGCATTTTTAGAATTCACTTTTATAAATCATTGGTCATGCAATTGTCACTTTTATATACGCTCAAGAAGAAGAAAAAAAAGATAGAAAGTTCTTTCCATGTTTTGGAGGTGTAAGCTCATGCGGATATGGAACTATTTATGCCATGTTTGATTGAACCCTAAACCTATATTCAACTATTAATTTATTTGAGTTATAGATTAAGTTTAATGAAGAGATGTTGATGGCAATGGTTGAATACTTAATCCACTATTTTATATCCTTAAACCTAGAAAGGCTAATAAATTATTACCATGCTGGGATATATCAGAAATTTTGCATAGCGTGAGGTAGGGAGATAAAAGTACACGAACTATCAGAATGATACACTTAACCTATTCATTTATGCTTATTTCTATTCACAGTTTCAGTCTTATACAAAACTTACCTTAATTTATCACTACTATACATTATTTATTGTAATTGTACTCACTACAAAAAAAAAAAAAGCTGATTATCTACGGCAAAAATCCGTAGGTAATGGTAAAAATCCGTAGATTATGTCATTTTATCTATGGATTTTTTTCCGTAGAAAATCCGTATGTAATATGGTCATAGGTAATTACCTACGGAATTATTGTCCGTAGGTAATGTCATCTGTGGGTAATTACCTACGGATTGTAATCCATAGCTAATTATCTACGAACAGAATCCGTAGATAATTACCTATGGATTATAATCCGTGGGTAATTACTTACGAACAGAATCCGTAGGTAATTACCTACGGATTGTATTCCGTAGGTAATTACCTACGAACAGAATCCGTAGATAATTACCTATGGATAAAATCCGTAGGTAATTACCACATTCATTATAAAATTTTATCACCACCAATGATTTAACTAAATTTTATCTGTTAATTACATACATATTACACACAAAGTATTTAGATATCAAATTTAACAATATTTCATAATATTGATATGCACCAAGTGCATATTTAAATATCAAACACAAATCCTAATATTAGCATGCATCAAATAGTCATTCAAAATATTTAAGAACATATAAATCCAAAGAAGTATTATAATAAATATTATGACAATATTGTTTGAGTGTCTTAATAATCTGAGTAATGTCCTTGTTCATTTTGAGGCTGCTCTGCGAAAGCTGGTTGATGTTGTGATTGTTGTTGTTGTTGCTCTTGCTGCTCCTGTGATTGTTGTTGTGATCCTTGTTCGGAAGGTTGTTGTTGAAATACTTGTCGGGCATCGGGTGGAAGTAAAGGAAGGACAACACTGACAAGTGTTTGTAATTGGCGGCTCAATCTTTCATTATCCTCCCTATAACTAAGCACTTGTTCCTTTAATTGCGTAATGTCACGAGAATCAGTAGATCCTGAATATGAGAGGGTATCTCCAGGCCTAAAATTATGGGCAAGTTCTCCAACACCATAGATCCGACCTTTTTTGTTGCCACCTGCAGCAAGAATCCAACTTTCAGTCCTTATTCTCTCCTCCTCTATAGGATCTAATGGAGATGACTCAGTTTCAGCAACACAGGATGCTGCATCAGATCTAGCCTGAGAGTATCTTCTCTGAAATTCTTCCTATTAACATACAAATAAAAATTATGTACGTTATACAACACGTATCTATCATAACATATAAGAGAGTAATATTAAATAAGTTCTCAACTTACATGAGTTTTTCTAGACCTTTCATCAACAAATTCACCATTAACCTTTCGTATATGAGTCTGTTTGAAAACCTCATCAATATGTGCAGGACGACCCAACTCCTTTTCCTGCAAAAAAAAAATTAATAACATATCATAAGAAATGAAAGAAAGAAAGAAACTTTTGTTATAATTGCATATTTACCATATGAATGGCGTGATCATACATACTAATAGAACCACCTGTGTGTAAACTACCACCCATCTCAGAAGCTCGATTCTTTTGAGCTTGTGCACACTTTGCACGATAATGAGTTGAGTTCCACTTGTTCAACAAAGTCTTCCACACATCATCAAATATCCAATAGGGCTTCTTTTCTGTCCTTCTAGCCTCTTTGAACATTTCAGATAGCCTATGTGAGGCCTTTGAGTGAAAATTATTTCGAATCCTGTCCTCATCTTCAGGTCTCCAGGTGACATTTCTCTTTGCAAATGATTTACACAAACAAACAAATAATAATAATTGTGTCAATGAATGTAAGTAATAAAAAAAATTCATCAACCTAAATATAAGAAAACTTACTTTAAACCGCTGAAAGAATGTCTCTTTTTCAACATCGGTCATTGAACCCCATGTCAGCCATGACTTAGAATATTGTTGCTTAATAGTCATTGTTATAGCTTGTGATGCAACCCGACATGGATGGAACCTTCGCCCAATAATTAAATTAAATAATAATCACAATTTCCTAATACTTGCAAATAATGAGAATAATATAATTTTAACTTAATTCTTACCCTAGACCATAAGGTGATATGATAGGAAGATTAGTGCCAAGTGGATGATCCTCCTCAATGTTTGATTGTGCGTCACCTTCCTGAATATGCACTTCTTGGTCTTCCCTAGCTAGTGTATGATGGACTCTAGAAGGCACTGATAATACTGAAGGCAATGTAGCTCCTGGGGAAGGTGCTGATGCAATGACAGGTGATGGACTAGGGTTGGGTGCATCAACTGGGGATGGGGCAGAAGTGGTTGTAGGTGCAATATTGTTTGTATGGGCATGTATATTCTCAGCACCTACAGATGAAGAAGGTGGGGGGAGCTATAAGTGGGGGAGGGACATTTATTTTAAGTATATAGCGTGGTTTTTTTCGTTTCGTTACTTTTTTCCCCTTTTTGGGATGAGACATGGGAGGTTGGGGTGAGTCACATCCTCCTGATGACATATCTGTACATAAGAAATTTATATAGTCAATTATGCAAAGGAATAACGTCATACATAATATGCAATATAAAAATTAACTCATAAAGAACAATTTCTTAACTACACGAATCCTATTCATCTTCATCTTGTCCCTCTCCCTCTTCCTCTTCCTCGTCCTCTTCCTCGTCCTCGTCCTCGTCCTCTTCTTCTTCATCATCTTCTTCTTCTTCTTCTTCTTCTTCTTCTTCTTCTTCCTCTTCCTCTTCCTCTTCCTCTTCCTCTTCCTGGACTACTTCAACATCAACTTGTGAATGTTGCAATCCAAAAACACCTTCAACTTCAATAGCTTCATTTACATGGGACATTTCATCCATTTGGTAAGGAACATCATCTTCCATGTCTTGAGATTCTATGCGACCTCTAGGCTTTGTTTTTATAGCAACATACCACCCTTCTTTGTCCTTTCTTGATCTCGGATATGGGATATAATATACTTGTCTAACATTATGTGCCAAGATAAAAGGATCAAATGGTAAATATCTTCTATCTATGCGAATGTCTACAGTTCCATATTTAGGATCCACTAATGTACCTCTACGTGATGGATCAAACCATTCACAATAAAATACCACCACTTTCTTCGGGGAGGTTGAAGTATTATATTGCAACTCATATATGTGTTGAATGATGCCATAAAAATCATCTTCACCCCCTTCTGTAAGGCCTTTTACATGTACACCACTATTAATGATTTTTTTCCCCTGAGTCCAAGCATGAGTGTGAAATTTGTATCCATTGACAAAGTATGTGTGCCATTTATTGACACATGTGAAAGGACCAATCGACAACTCCCTTAAGTGCATGTTTGTTACACTTAAAGGCTCACTATGAACCTACAAATGCAAAGAAGGTACAGTCATATGTTCTTAAGTATATTGTAATAAACTAAGTTATTAATGTAACCATACATACTTGGTACTTAAACCATTGAGAAAAATGTCTATGTATGTGATTTGACACATTTGAGTCATTGGGTTGACCAGATTGCAAGAAGGAACTATGAAAAGATAGGAGAAGGATGGAGAACAATTTAATCAAATAAGAAAATGATATAATTATGAAATATAGTGTTTGAAATACTCACTCAAGGTATGACTTAATTTCGGTACAGTTGATCAAGACATGAACATGAGCCGAGTTCCACTCTTTTTGGGTTAACCAATGAATTGATGTCTTTCCTGAGTGACGACCAAGCACGTTAAAGATAGATAACCTTGATGGATCCCTTTCAATTTCAACTTGTATTTCATTTCTCTTATTCTGTGGTGATAGAATGAAGTTCTTGAAATAATGGGAACAAAAGTGAGTTGTCTCTCGATGCAAGTATGAGGCACAAATTGATCCTTCAACACGAGCTTTATTTTTTACTGATCGTTTAGAATCACCCATGAATCTAGAAAATCAATGAAATGAGGATGGTATTAGCTCAATATTTAGTAAATCAAATTTTGTGCATAATCAATGATAGTCTTCTTACCTTTCAAATGGATACATCCATCTATATTGAACTGGTCCACCAAGTTTGGCTTCATACACAAGATGAATAGGTAAGTGCTCCATTGAATCAAAGAATGCAGGGGGAAATATTCTCTCCAACTTACAAAGAATTATTAGAATATTTTCTTCCATTTTAGCTAATTCATGATGCCTCAATGTTCTAGAACACAAATCTTTAAAAAAATGGCTCAGTTCAGTAAGAGGGTTCCAAGCATGCACTGGTAATGAACTAAATGCAATAGGGAGTAAACACTCCATAAAAATATGACAATCGTGGCTCTTCATCCCATGCATCCTTCCCTTGTCTACATTGACACATCTTGCTAAGTTGGATGAATAACCATCAGGCATTCTAAGTTCCTTGATCCAATGATAAACTAACTTTGCTTCCTCTGCAGTTAAAGTATAATTTGTTTTTGGCTTTACCATCTTCCCATTAGCCTGCAACTTCAACTCTAAATCTGGTCTACAACAATACAAAGTTAGGTCCTTCCTTGCCTTATCATTATCTTTTGTCTTACCTTTGACATTCATGACAGTGTTGAATATATTGTCGAAGAAATTTTTCTCTATGTGCATAACATCAAGATTGTGCCTCAATAAATTATCCTTCCAATAGGGCAAATCCCAAAATATACTTCTTTTTGTCCAATTATGCCATTCCCCATAGCCTGGTAACTTGTTCATATGAGGGTAATCTATGACTTTGGGTACATCCATAATTATACTCCAAACTTGCTCGAGATGTCAATGTACATGGTGGGTCATTTTTAATATATATATATATATATATATATATATATATATATATATGGATTTTCTTTTGTAAATGATTTTTAAAATATCATAATTTAAAAAAATATTATTTTCTTATTTAAATTGAATCATAATTAATTCTTATTGATTATCATTTTTAAACAATTTTATTGAGTTTTTTTTTTAAATTACAAGGAAAACAAAACTTAAAAAAGCATAAAACTTGTTTGATTTAATTTATTTTTAAAAGAAATTAAATAATTTTAGAAATAATTTTTAAAAACTGTTTTTGAAAATAAGTTAAAAAAACTTAATTTATAAATCCAGTTTAAAATTATTATTATTATATAACATTATATAATCTTATTTATTATTTTATTATTATTTATAGGTATAGGTAAGAGAATTGATGCGAAAATATCAACCCTCTTAATTTAATCAAAGAGATACTCGCATTTTCCTTCAGGACTCTAACATGTATTTGTTCAACCACAGTATGCATTCTAAAATCTAAAGAAATATAGAATATATATTTTATTATTTTTTATTTAAATTACTTATTAGAAGATTTTTATTATGTTTTAGGTTTTTTAAAATATTATTTAAAATAAAAATATTAAATTATTATTTTAATATTAATAATTAAGATTCAAAATATTATTAATATTTAATATTTTATTATATTTTTATAATTACATTAATAAGATATTAGCAGAAACTGCTCCGTACTATATATTTCATATAATTCTAAAACGTTTTTAAAAACCAACAACCCTAACAAATATGGTGACCCTTGTCTAATATTTTAAAAAGTAATATTATAAGAAGACAGTCTTCTTTGAAATGTTTTTTACCAACTTATATTTTTATAGAAATTATTAAAAAGCTGACTTTTAATTAAATAATTTTTTGCTACAGTTATTGTATCACTAAAATTTCTGATAAAAATTGCAAGTTATTCTTTGTTTGGCAGAAAACTTACAAAAATATTGTAGATCAACCAAACATGCCTTAAAATCATAACTTTTAGACAAACCAAATTTCAAGTAGCAGATTTGCATAATGATCGCCTCGGAGACATAGTGCTGGAATTTAAGTGTTTTGAACCTTGGATAAAGATTTCAAAATTTTAAGAAATTTAAAATGTATAAAAGTTTAACTATTTCAATAATCTTTTATTATAAAAATATTTTTTGGTATTAAGTATCATTTTAACTGCATTGTGTTTTATTTGAAATTTCTTCGTATTAAGTATCATTTTTCACATGAACAATCCATCCATAAAACTCTTAATGTTTAAAAGTTCTTCAAATTTTAATATTCAAGAAATCATTTTAATATATAATATTTTTAATTCATTCAAAGTTTAAACACTGAAATCCTTCCCCAAAATTTTCATCCAAACACAAGGAATTTCAATTAACTTAGACAAATGTATCATAATAGCATTGCAAAGAAAACAAAAAAGGTTTGATATATTTGACCTAATATAGATTATTGGTATATAACTGCATAGATTCTTTTGTCGGACCCAATATTTATCCCTTTGTTCTTTGATGATTATGACATTAATAATCATTGTTATTTCTGATACAAGAAAAACATAACCACACCAAACACACTCTTTTGAGGAGTATCATCTTCCCCACCAATGAAACTTACACATAAAAGTGTCAGGCTAAGACTTATTACAACTCAAAGACACGCATTGACATGATAATTAACTAGAATAATAATTAAAGACCAAATTTTAATTCGAAGGATTCACAGCAAATTAGCTTGTACCTAATGTATCATGATCCTTTGTACTGGGACTTCTGTTTCTCTAGTTGTTTGATTAGTTGTTGTAACACCTTCAAATAGTTGCTTGTCATATGATCTAGTATCATCCTTCTTGAAAGTCTGAGCTTTCCATACAATTCTCTACCCGTTTCATACAACAAGACATGCTTCTCATCCTCATCATCATAGTGGTTTGATGTAGAATTTTCAGAGGAAGGTGCAGGGACAATATGCAAGATCCTTCCTGGTGGATATAGAGCATGTCTACCCAAGTTGTCAGATGTTGCCACTGCACCACCTCGACTTTCTTCACTATGAACAACCTCACCATTCTTCTCTTCTTCTGTGATGCCTTTTTTTGTGGCTACTTCTTTCTCCTTGGCACTGTGAATGTTAGGGGTATCATCCTGTGCCTCTAGTTGAAACTCCTTCAAATATTGATTCAATTCATCGTCAGGGAAAGTGGGAGCAGTAACGTTGCGAGTAGAAGCTATGATATGCTCCTCTTCTTTATCCAAGTCATCATTATCAGATCCTTCACTGGAGGATTTAGATCCCTCATCCTCATCACTCGTAACCTCGGAGATTGTTGACTCTTCAGTTACATCATGAACTGTCTCTGATATTCGAGATGCTTCAGCCAAATTTTCTGATTTAGAACTTGTCAATGCAACAGTATTCTCATGTCGGGACCAGGTTATTAGTGACCGAGTTCTTTGTTTACTCTTCATCACAACCTTTGGGTACAAACAAGAATCTCTATGTAATTAAGGTAATTAAAACATGTGTATTATATGAGAAATTCGTATGTAAAAAGTGTATTTGTTAAGATCATGAATAGATTAAATATGGTTCCCTCATATTTACGAGCAGTTGATGATAATATAACTGCAAGAGGTATCTTTATAGTCTAGTCAATACAATGTTAAGCACATTCCGGTCGCTGCATTAAGACTAAAATAACAATTTAAGACCATGGTTAAAGATAAACTAGGGAGGTTGAAGGTACCTCAGTGCCACGGGATAGTGCATGATCTGCTATGATTTTTGCACTAGATGCAAATGGAAAGCGAGATCCAATAGAATTTATGAATTTCTTACGCTTAATCCGACCCTGTAAATCATTCAATAATCAGTATTAATTATGTCGTGACCTGATAAGTAGCGATTAACAGAAAGAAGAACTAATTCGAGCACCTCGAAGATGAAATCATTAACAGAAGAAGCTGACAATGTAGGCACCATGTCATGATCATTTACAACGGAAGTCACAAAGGGCTTCCCGAATTCTGCCAACTCCAATGACATACAAGCAGCTGGATGAAAAAAGTACGAAAATTATTATTGTGAAAACAAAAAACGACTGAATTAACTAACTGTAATGATTACATTTCAGATAAAATAAAATCCGGGAAAACATAGTTACATACGTTATATATGCAGCACTGAAATGTTTTATTATTATATATAAATTAATAAAATATATTTTCCATCTATATTATTTATAATATAGAGTAATTCAAATACGACTTCATATTTTGTATGGCTCTCTAATCAATTGTAAATACTTAGTTATTCTACTCAGTTTTGAGACGCTTCTTAAATCGATTTCAAAACTATGTAGAATTAAGCCTTGTAAAAAGTGAGATATTTAGACACTCTTTTTACTTTTATTATCTTGTCCAAATACCAAGATTTCAGTTTGTCAAGAAGATTATAATTAATTCTTTAGTATCTGGAGAACCTATTCTTTACTATATTATTCTGGTCAATACTAAAGATCATGTGATGATTGCATTATAATAAGAACCTATTGAATTATTTACTCAATCTAGAACAAAATAAAATTTAGAAGCGAAGAGGTTGGTATAGTCACATGCCTGGGCCAAAGGTGACACAAGTGCATGAAGAGAACTGCTTTATCTCTCGAAGCATATATGTCAAAAGCGCAGCAGTACCACCACCAAGCGAGTGCCCAACGATCTATCAAATCAAGATTATTATAATTATAACAATAAAAAAGGGTCAAATATAGGTTGAGTCGCAAAGAATATAGAATTTAGTTTATAAGAAAATTGAAGCAAGAATGTGGCATTCAAAGTAAAGCATATATAATACCTTGATTTGGAAATCGGGGTATCGACGAATTTCATCAAGAAGTTTAGGAGTACAGTGCTTGCTGATCCAACGTGCTGCAGCAACCATGCCGCGGTGTCCATGTCCTGAAACCACGTTGCTCATCTTCAGCTCACCATCACTGCAAACGAAATGTTTGAAGGAAACGGGAGCGCCGATTGCATCTGTCAGAGTGTCTTTTATGCTACGAGTTCCCCGGATGAACACAAACAAACATTTTAATTTTTGATCACGTATCAATGTGAAAGCAGGCTTTAGAATCTGCCAAAAAAAAGTTGTTAGTTAAACTGACATTTCGTAGATTTGCTTCGCCTTCACGCATAGAATAAAATATGAAAACAAAATAACCATTTTTTAGAATAGAAAGAGTTGAACTGAAGCAAAAAAATTAAGAAGCGAAACTTGTGTACCCGAGCTCTTCTCTTCCTTAGGATAACATCGTCCATGACGTATTCAGCAGCAAACAGAAAGGCATGAAAGCGTTTTTTGCTGAAAAGCATGGTTCGTATCAAGCACTGTTTGAGCTCATACAATTCCTCTAATTCGGGGTCTTTCAGTTGTTTACAATCGTCTCTTTCTCCACATTCGATTGCAACTGTTTTCTTACCCTATATATGAGAACCCAGTAAGGACATTAACTAATGAAGAAAAGTTGAAAGAAGGGCAAGTTGGAAACGAATGTACCTTGTCCATGATAGTATAAATGATTGCTCTAGGCAAGTCCAAGAGATGCCATTTGCCTAATGTATCTACACAACCGAACCTTATGGCTTCTGCTAAGGTCAAGACCGTCTCCATGGAAGTTTTCGGCGCCTCTGCTGGCCTCTTTTCCAGCTTCCCCACAGCCCTCTTAACCATACTGGATATCATTTTTCCCAGTGGAACGCAAACAAGAAGGAAGGTCGGGAAAGTGGAACTTGAAAAAAGAAAGCAGAACGAAGAAATATTTCACTGACCCTGGCTTGGAGTCTAAAGTGGGAAGGAGTGTGACCTTATGTAGGCATGAGAAGCTTGGTTTTTCTGTAAATAGTTATTACAGGGCTTCCAACATGCAATTTTTTACTATATATTCTTCTTAGCTTACTCTCTCCTGTTAGTTAAACTTTAAAATTACGAAATTAATGGGATTTGTTAATTATCTAAAATACAAAGTCCGCATATTTTTCATTTTTTTATTCACTACAAGAAATCTGTTATATTGTGGGTTAAAAATTGACTTAAGTTAAATGATAAGCTACTTGATTTTGTACCTAACACAAACAACAAGCAAGAAACAGATCTTAGTGTTGTAGATGGTAATTAGTTATTGGAATTGACTAAACTCTTAAAACGACAGTAACAAATACTACGAAACAAAATAATAAAAAAAAAACCCAATATTTCCGTACAAACACACTAATAACCTCACCATATTTTTCTCCCCTCACTCAACCCCCATCTTTTTTCGTCCCCCACTCAACCACAAGTAGAATAAGAGTTGGGAGGGGTGCGGGTAAATTGTAGTATCAATAGGTTATTGAATTTATATGCCAATAAAATTCGTATGTAATAGAGTGGTAATTATTACGTCATTTTTTATTCAATTAATAAATTTCTAACATAATAAAAATACGATAATATTTTTAAAATTAAAAATAAAACAATTTTTTATATTAGTTCATATAACTATAAAAAAACTGAAATTTATGTTGAACAGTATTATTTGATTTAACCCACACAAATAATAACACCACTCCGAATACTTATCTTTCTTTCTTCATTCGTTAGTGTTTATATGTTTCTTTTGTTCTTTAGGAAAGATACAGGAGGAGAAGAAAAAAAAAACAGAAAAATCAACTAAAAAAATTCAATGGAGAAGAAAAAACTAAAAGAGGAGAACGAAAAAGAAATCATTCCTCCACCACCACCATTAGAGAAAAAGAAAATCTCGAAGAAGAAAAATCCTCAAACTCGATTTTTTTTTCTTTTATACTGGCCCATTCTAAAATTTCATAGCAAAATACGCAAAATTTATATCAATATAAATTTATGTTGATTACTGTATTGTCTAACTTAAATTTGCATATCCTATGTTAATATCTAGTATATAACAGTGAATTAATTCAATGAGATATCACATTCATTGTATATGTAGTGTATTTTATATAATGTATAATGGCGATAAACTTTCACTATTTTCCAATGTCCCCATTGACCCAAATCTGACTTTTTCTAAATAATTATATAATTTTTTTGGGATTTAATTTTTACTTTTGTGATCTAATAATATACATGATGGTTTTAAAAAAAATCATATTTAATACAATTTTACTTAATTTGACTATATAAAAAAAAATTAAACTGATATTACATGAAAATGAAACTCTACACGTGCTCTTAATTAAATATATGTCGAATTTATTAAACACGATAATATGGCATGGGTAAGTTGTTCTTAATTCAATAACACTAGTAACATCGTTGACGTTTACCCTCCGAAAACGAAGTCTCGTCAACTTTTAATAACATGCATTCTTTTCACATTGAAATTAGCAAGATTCATTCCAGCCAGAAGATCTTTTACAGATAATAAAAGATATTATTTTAATTCTCAGATATATAAAAATAAAAAATAGTTATATATAATATCATTTATGATAGCATTTTGCATTTAAATAATTAAACTGAATTTTATTATACCATCAATTCTCCTGTTCTTCTCTCCAATAATATGTCTTTCTTTGACATTTTTTCCATTTCACACTTTACATAGCTTTGCAACTTTTATATTAATTTTGTTAATATATGCTCTCGTTTTTACTCAAATTCATCACAATTATTTTGTACTTTTTCTATTAAATTTGAACTTATATATGTGTGTGTCTTTCAATTTATTTATCTTTAAAATTGTTATTGTTATTGATTTTAGGATATAATTGTGAACCAATTATTTACTTATTCAAGATGCAAATATCGTTTTATTAAATTTTCTACGTAAAAACTAAAAGACCTAAAGCAAAAAATTGTCATATATACGATAAAAAAAATGTGTAAGAACTGAGTCTCATAAAAAACAGAAAATACAATTATGGTTTTTTTGTTGTTGTTCATAAGATTCAGTTTTCTTGTAAATTCCATCATATATTTATGCTCATCATTTATAGTTTAAACATCAGTTGAGTTTAATATTTTCATGTTGGTAAATAAAACAGGATAAGTGATATGAATATGATTTATAAATATTTTCATAGAGATGTTTAAAGGGTTTTTGGGTGTGAAATGTGTAAGAGAATTCAGAAATTCTTCATTTTATCTATGCATGTTGTTGCTTTTGAAATAGTATTTAAAGAAGTTTGTGCTGTATTCTATCGTAAGGAAGATTGGAAATTGAGGAAGCAATGGAACATATGTGAAAAAACCTAAAATGTAAAAGTGTACGCATTATGGTTGACATTTTAATGTTGGAAATTTTAAAATTCTAACCTTGATTTTAGTTAGTTTCATTGGATTGACTTGATGATACAAATTAAGAATGAGAAATAGAATATAATTGGGAGATAAATTTATAGACACTTGCAAGAAGTACAAGTGGGAAGCAATAAGATGAATGATAAAAGAAAAGAAAAAGCTTGACTTGACTTGCCATGATGATTGCAAGTGATGCAAATGGCCTATTTAGAATGTTGGGTCAGAGATACGATGCAACTTGTAAGAAGGTTATTGTCATTAATCTCTTCATGCTAAGGCAATTTGGGATTAGAAAATTAGGGTATCTACTTGTTTGTACACGGCCCCAGTAGTAGTTCACGAGGATTAGGAATCTCAGGTCAACGACCACCAATTGGCCAAACACTTTAACATCCTGTTCTACTAATGGACTTGGTCAAGCAAAACAAAAGAAACGTGCTCTCTTTTGTTGAGGAAAAATAAAAAAATAATGAATTAAAAGAATGTTAAATAGGAAACAAAAATATAAAAATTAGATTTTTTTTCTCTTACACCTTATCGGTTCATAGAACCAATCGGAATTTGCTAGACTCGCTCTATCCCAATCTCTAGCGCACTAACCAATGAATTTTGCACTCGTTTTATTAAATCCTATTTCCGCATCAAATTTATCATTTTTAAAAATACATTTGTTCCTTTGAAACCAAATTTCATAAACCACTGCTACCCATAGTCTTTTCCACAACGTATTTTTCTTCGCTCTCAATCCACTTAATGCAAAGCTTTCCAGGCTTGCTTTCGCCTCACAGTGACTAATATAACTAATGCTCACCCATCTATAGCACTTTTCCCAAATCTCACTGGTCATCTTACATGTGAAAAAGAGATGATTAAATGTTTTGTCCTCAATTCCACACAAAGTACATTTTGGGTCACTTATAGCAACCCCTCTCCTAACTATATTCACCTTAGTAGGGATCCTATCTTGAAGAATTCTCCACCCTATAACTATGACTTTTGATATCGCTTTAATTTTCTAGTATCATTTGAAGATCGATTCGTTCTCATCGCAAGTTACTTTGGAAAGAATCTCATACACTTCTTTTACAATATATCCTTCATTTTTATTCGGTCCTCACACCCACGTATCTTTTGTATCCCTATTAAGTGTTATGCCCTAAATCTTAGCATTTCCTCCTCCATTTCCTTCTCCCATTCAAAACGTTGTCTTCTCCAATTTACTCTCCATTTCCATCTATTTTCAATCCACTCACCATGTTCTGATAGCACCCCATTTTTGTTCAGTCCTATTTGTTTTAACCTTGGGAGCAAATTGCCTAAAATTTGTTCCCCAATCCACACATCGTCCCAAAACCTGATTTTCTCCCCATTTCCTATCTTCCATGTTACATGTTTATCAAACCAAGCTCTACCATCATTATCTTTACATATTCTTGTTATACCTAGCCACCATTTTGAATCCTTATCAATGTTTTGACTCGTCTAAGGCTCTCCAAGACCCATATTTGGCTTCTATTACTTCCTTCCATAGTCCTTTTGACTCGACTCCTAACCTCCACTTCCATTTTCCTAGTAGGGATCCATTTATCCTCTGAATATTCTTCACCCCTAACCCACCATCTTCCTTTCTTCTATAGATTTTTTGTCATTTTACCCATGCTATCTTTTTCCCTTCTTTGTCCAAGTCCCACACAAACTCCCTTTGAAGCTTTGTTACCTCTTTTATCACTCTAACAGACATTTTGAACATCGATATATAGAATAATGGTACCGCCGAAAGAACTAATTTCATCAGACATACCTTCCCTGCAAAGGAAAACATTCGACCTCTCCACCTAAAGAGCTTTTTCTTTACTTTACATAAGACATCATCCCAAAACTCATGTTTTTTGTGGTTTCTTCCAACTTTCAACCCCAGATATCTAAATGGAAATATCATTGTCTTACATCCTAATTCTCGTGCATAGCTTTCCAGTAACACAAACCAGATTGACCTTCAATCCTGATGTTAACTGGAAGCAGCTCAATATTGCTTTAATTAATTACCGTAATGCTATTAGGATTTGTATTGCTTAAAAACAAAGTGTCGTCTGCAAACTGTAGAAGACTAACCTGAAGCTCCTTTTCTCTCACCCTGGCTCCTTGTAGCATCCCTTTTGCTACTGGTTACCTTACTACCCAAGCTAACCCTTCAACTACCACTAAGAAAAGGAACTGGGCCAAAGGATCTCCCTATTTTAATCCTTTTTGGGGAGGAACTCTTTTGTTGGACTGTCATTCACCAGCACTGATATGGAAGCAGATTTTAAACAACCTTTAATCCACCTCACCCATTTCCTGCAGAACCCGAGTTTCTCTAGCATATAAAAGAGAAATTCCCAATCCACAGAGTCGTAAGCTTTTTCATAGTCTATCTTGAGTAC